GGAAGGCCCTCTATGAGGTAGATTGATTCAGTGACTTGGGTAATCGGGATGGGAGTGTCAGAGACAGTGTTATTGGCACAGGACAGAGCAGAGTTTAGGGCTGTTGTACATAGGGTCGCTATGAGTCATAAGCGACTCGACGGCACATAACAACAACAACAACGTTTCTCTGGTTTCTCACTTCTGTAAACAGGAACTTCAAGCCAAAGACCCTTGACTCCTCTTGTACTTCACAGTTAATATGTTAAAATTCCTATCAGCTTTCGCTTCAAAATAAACCCAATCACTTCTCCCTACTTCTATTACTACTATGTTCCAAGCCACTTTATATGATCATAATAGCTTCCTGTCCTCTCAATCAAGAGATTATATTAAAATTAAAACAGATCCTGTAACTTCTCTGTTCTAAAGAGTTACAGGAAAAACCCTCTAATGATCTTCAAGGCCCTGTTGTCTACTCCGTCCTCTCCATTTCTCTCTTTCTCATGCCCATACTGTTTACTGCCCCCCTGACCACACTAGTTATCTTAAGGCTCTTTGAACGAACCAGGCCAACTAATGCTGGGCTCCATACCCTCTTCTCCACATGATATTCTCAATAGTCAGCTCCCTTATGTCCTTATCTAAATGTTAACTTCTGAGAGAGGCATTTCAGATTTACTGTACTTCAGTGTGTAAGCCCTCCCCATCCCCACACCCTGTGTCCCTTTTCTCAGCTCTCACTTTCTCCATAGCAGTACAGTGCAATGGTTCTACATATTCTAATTGTTTGCTGCTGATTCCTCCTTTAAGAATTAATGTCTTCAAGACTGGGGGGTTTTGTCCCTTTGGTTCACTCCTCTACTAGTTTTTAGTACTGTTTTTAGTACTAGAGAAGTATCTGACACATAGTAAGTATTCAATAAACATCTGTTAATGAAAATGTCTCACCCCTTTGTTCTACTTTCTCTTTAAATATCACCTACTCAGGATAAGAATGATAATGTTAAGCCTTTCCTTTCTTATTTTCTTGACAGCCCTCACCACAGAGTCCACTACAACTACTATAGAGCCTTCTACTTCAAGCAGCCCTGGTTATGCTATACTTAAATAGTCATCTACTAACCAGAAGTTGGTGATTCAAACTCACTCAAAAAATCCACAGGAGAAAGATCTGCAAACATTTTATTCTATAAAATGCTATCAGACAGTTCTCCTGGGTCATAAGATCCAAGTAAAAAATTCAATCTAACTACAATTACCACTTCTACTACTATTGCTAGCATTAAGGATAGCAAATATTTATATTGTATTAGTTACAGGCCAGGATTTATCCTAAGGGCTTCTAATATATCATTTACAGAACCTTGTACTATTTTTATTTGATATATATTTGTATGGCAATTACTCTACACAAGGCTAGTCTTGCAGTAAGTCCTGTACAACCATTTATTAAATAAATGTGAGGGTTGAACCTCTGAAGTGTGTTGTGTTATCCCATTTTACAGATTACAAAACCCAAGCACAGAAAGGATAACTGGCCCTAAGTCCCATAGATGGAAGGAAGCTGAACCATGAATCTCATGCAGAGCATTTCTTTGCCATTATACTACGCTTCTCTACACAGTATACAAATAATCCTCTATTCACTCACTACATTGACAAGATTTAAACTCTTTTTAAACTCAGTATTCCTGAAGAATTTCAAACTAAGATATAATACTCTTAAAATAATTTATCATACAAAAACAAACTCGAAAAAGTAAAGTTGATTTCTCACCATTCTGTGGTCTCGAGTTTTCATGTTTGGAATGACATCCAAGTCAACTGAAATAAATGAAGAACACACACAAATTAAAAGGCTAGAAACTATTTTCATTAATAAAATTGACTTTTTAAGCACTCTGCTGTGACTTATTTCTCTACTGGAAATAACTTTTTATTTAACCACTAAATCTCAGACTATTTCTAAGAATCGATGCCTTTGCGTTGCGGTGCTGGAGGAGAGTATTGTGTACCATGGACTGCTAAGAGAACAAACGTCCTGAAGAGGGAGAAACCAGGCTGCTCCTTGGAGGCAAGGATTTTGAAGCTTTGTCTAACAAATTTTGGGCATGTTGCCAGGAGGGACCAGTTCTGGAGAAGGACATCATGTTTGGAAGGGTGGAGGGACAGTGCAATAAAGACAGTCCCTGGATGAGATGATTTGACCCAGTGACTAGAGTAATGGGGATAGAAGTGTCGGAGATAATGAAATTGGCCCAAGATAGAGTAGGGTTTAGAGCTGTTGTACATAGGGTCACTATGAATCGTAAGTGATTTGACAGCACATAACAACAATATCAAGGGTCTTAAATTTTGCTAATTTTGTTAGGATCATACTTATTGTGCAGTTTGCTGCTTTACAGATTATGTATCATATCAAAATCATACACACACATAGGATTGAAAATACTTTGCAGGTGTCTGTCCTTAGTTCCCAAGTCCTGGGGCAGATGTCACCCAGCTTGCCCCAAGTACTCACTTCTCCAGACAGTAATGAATGGTTATTGGGCCTTCTCGCTCAAATACAGGAACCCAGCCTAGCGAATCAGGTTCCTCTCAAAGATTTGTTCTTTTCTAGGTTTATACAGCCAAAAATACTATCTACGCATGGCACTGACACTGGAGGGAGCTAAACTGGATTGCTATCAGTCTAAGAAAGAGATGCAGAAAGACAGAATTTGGCAGCAAGATAAAACATTTAAGAACTAAGACTCTGGGCTGTGAAAAGATAAATAAGTTTAACTCCTCAATGTAAGTATATTTCTGGTTATATAACTCAAATAAATCCCAGTGTAAACTGCCTAACAAAGCCACATTGCTACAACAAAAGCAGCAGAGATTCTATTCTGAGGAGCCTTTGTCATTAAAACTGGATTACCAACGGGGCAATTAGAAGTAGTATACAGGGAACAGACTTATATACACTGCCATCTTTATATTTTTTTTCTGCATAAAGTTAAAAAATATATATGGATAAATTTAACATGAAACATAAAAGATGAAGAAAATAAGTCAACAAAGGATACAACCTGATACTATTTACATATCAAATCCAATCTTGCCAATGATTTCTTTTTGCTTAAATGAGTTTGATAGTGACTCTTGTACTCTGTATGGGGCTAGATAACAATGAAGAAAGGTTAACTTAAAAAAGAATATAGGTGGTTTTCCCCTGGTCTGTCTCTCTCCCCAGACCAAAGAATCCCACCTGGGAGCTCCCTTAATAAAGTGTCTATAGCTTTCTCTTTCTCTCTGGTCCCTTCCTTGCGTCCTTGGTCTTACATCCAGTGAGAAGATCTAACATCCTGGTGTATGAAACCTGGGAGAGGAGCTGAGGCGTATTGTGCCTCCACCCTCTTTTGGGGTGAGGGCAATGTCCCTCATTCTCTCTGGAAACTACCAGCTTGCCTGGTGTCAAGACATCAAACAGCAGCACAACGGAAATGGTCCCGTTTCTCTCTTCTTCTCCTGTTTTGTGTGTATGCCTGCTGACCGAATGCTCTGAGTGCTTGTGAAGAGGCTCCACGGCTGACGTCACCCTGAAGCCACTAAGTTTGATTGGGTTCCCACCTGTGGTTCCGTGGTGTTGTCATATGGCTTAGTGGCAATCTGGGGTATCCTCCAGGGACCCCAACATGGCCTGGGCTTCATACAGGCATGCCTATTGCTAAGACACACTTTTACCCCATGAGGGGCACAGCAGGAGGGACACCTGTACGAACTGAGGGGACAGACGCATCCATTTTGTGTTTATGTCTGGTCGTTAGTAGTGCCCATCTTCTCTGAACTCCTCATTCTTCCTGTCTACTGCTAACGCTAGTCTTGAAAAGTCCTTGCTGGGAGTTATCTGGTGCCCCCTCTCATAGAGAACTCTTTGCCCCTATTCTTCTGACTTCTGCCTCTCCACTCTCAGACTCCTTTTCTGACTTCTCTCTCTCCCTCAGAAAGTCCATTTGCTCCTAAAATTTCCTAGGTATTGTTTAGAACAGTCCCCAGGCATTTTGCCTCCAGCCATTTTGAAACCCTTTGGATTCAAGTCTGTTACACTGTACTCCTGTCTGTGCATATATCCAGTATTTCCAAATATCTCAGGCCTGCATCAGGAGCTCACCCAGCACGAGGCACTTCCAGGCTACTGATTGCAATAGGAGACACCCACACCATCTTTCAGCCTTTCCCAGAATCTTGAGGCTTCTGGATTTCTAAGGACTCTCCAAAATCTTGGCTACCCTCATCCTTGGACCTGATCACTATGGTTACCAAATGTCTGAATCCCCAAGGGATAGTCCCCTGGGCTGCCTCCTTTCGAATCTTTCAAACTTGGGCCTGGCTGAGGACCTCCACCCCAAGAAACTAATTTTTTACTGGAATCAGGCACGGCCACAATACCAGCTAGATAACAACACTCAATGGCCTGAAAACAGGACTTTTGATTTTAATACCCTTTGAGATCTTGACAATTTGTGCCAATGGACTCAAAGATGATCAGAAACCCCATGTAAGCTTTCTTTTAATTTACCAAGCCCAAGGTGGGTGATTTTAATCTGGAGCCCTCAGGCCTGGTTCAAATTGTTTTGTCAAGCATTCTTCTAGGTGGTATGGCACTGTTCTATGTATTGCTATGCAGCGGTAACTCATGGTTGCTGTGATGCTAAACACTGTGACACCGATGTGCCAAATGCGATAATGGTTACCCCTGGTGGAGAGTGTTTGGTGGAGCTTCTCAATTAAAACAAACTTGGAAAAAGGAGTGGTGTCCACCTCCAAAATGGCTTGCCTCTGGAAACTCTATGAACAGTGCTCAGGCCTTTCTTTTGTTCATAAGGTCGGTATGAGTCTTCTATGACTCAACAGCACCTAACAACAAAAACATAGCCAAAATTTTTAACTAACCTTCCAGTTAAAAAAGAAATCTTCTGAAACTAAAACATCACCTTCCCTTCTAACCCTAACCCACAGATAAAACATCTTCTCTCTCCTTCTCTCTCCTTTTCCTGAGCCCATCCAGTAAAAAATCCCATATGCCATCCTCCCCTTGCCTCCAGACCAAACATCACAAAGGGATCAAGCTCCTCTGACCCCTCATCCCTCCTCCCAACCCGCCCCCCTACCCATTCCAGCACCTTACCCTCTATTAAAACTCAGCCAACTAATTCCTATAAAGTCTATCCAACAATATCCTTCTTTCTCTTTCTTTTACTAAAACAAGTTTAAGAATTTTATTTCCTTTTTTCTTAAAGCATTTTCTTAAAGCATTTCTTAAAGCACTTTAAATTTTTCAGCCAGAGTACAGAACTGAAAATTTTTTTCAAATTTATCTCTTCCTTTTTAATATAGCACTAGTTTAAAGCACATACATTCTGTATATTTTTAAATTATCAATTGAAAAACTGAACTTTAAAAAATTAGAAGTTATATACAAACTTGTCTCATTAAAATAGACATTGTCAGTAGAAAGGGTTTACTTTCTTCTGGACACTAGTACGAGTCAGTCAGTCTGTCTTGGGATTTTTAGCAACCTTCTTTGCCTCTGCCAACTTACTATTGCAGACATTAAAAACCCTGTACCATTACCTACATCCCCAGCAAGAGCTATCATCCTAGCTACTCATTGTATCAATCGGCCCCTGATATCAAAAAGAAACTAAAAAGGTGAGAATGGCCCCCAAACACCCATTTGAGACCTGGCAAACATCACCTTTAAAGTTTTTAATGCCTAAGAAGAACAGGCAGAGGCTGATAGGGATACTTACACCCGTCAGAAAGCGAAATCTGCAGACCCAAGCCTTGGTAGCTGCCCTAGAGACAGCAGCAGCAGTGAGGTATCAGAAAACACCTCCTTGTTCAAAGAACAGGTTATCTCCTGACGAATGTTTCAGGTGTGACAAAGAGGGTCACTGGGCTAACCACTGCCCTAACCCTTGCCCTCCAACACGGTTGCCCTATCTGTGGGACACTGTGCCATTGGAAGGCCAACTGCCCTTCGACAGATAGCTGTGATAGGCCAGCCCCTCCATCAAACCCGGTCCCCATCCTGGATGACCACTTAGGCCTGGAGGCTGAAGATTGAAGATGCCCAGGTTCAACAACCCCCATCACCATTGCTGAGTCCAACGTAACCCTTCAGGCAGCAGGTAAGCCAGTTTCCTTTCTGCTTGACAGCGGGGCTAGCTTCTCAATGCTCCCCCCTCCTTCTTGGGTCCTGTTTTCCCTTCCCATAGTAATGGGGATTGATGGTCTCCCTCTTAAGCCTTTTTCCACTCAGCCCCTCCTCATTACCTTAGACAAACGAGTACTCACCCACTTCTTTCTAATTATCTCTACATGTCCAACTCTGTTGCTAGGTAGAGACTTCCTGTCTCCTTGGAGTTGTGTTTCACTGACAGTCAAGTGAACCTAGTCTGCCTGACCAGCCTTTAATTCTATCCCTCTTAGCACTCCACCCCTCTGAGCCCCGTTCTACACTAACTCTATCACCAGACGTTGTCAATCCCGTTGTACGGGATCTTTCTACTCTATCTGTAGCCTCTCACCACTAACTTGTTCTTGTTATTCTGAAAGAACCCTCCTCTTTTCCTGCTAGATCCTAATTCACTATCTCCGCGAACAACACCACAGAGGTTTAAAATGCATTATTACTTGCTTACACTCCAATAAACTTCTAATCCCCTACTGTTCTTTCAATATGTTGATGATCTTTTTATTGTGTCGCCTCTCATATCAACTTTTACAAACTAACACTGCTCAAATTCTTAACTTCTTGGCCTCCAAGGGAAATAGGGTATTTCCCTCCAAGGCCCAACTATCTCTCCCCACGGTCATTATCTTGGTTTTCAATTGACTCCCACCACTAGAAGTTTAACAGTCAGTCATTGAAAATCTCCAGCCATCTCAAACTGCTGATCAAAACCTCTTTTTTCAGCTTTATAGGTTTCCTTAGACAGTGAATTCCCAACTTTTCCTTACTAGAAAAATTCCTTTATGATGTGGGCAAAATCCACGCTACAAGGACCCCTAGATTCACCCCAGATAGTTAAAAAGCTTTCCTCAAGCTCCAGCATCTCATCTTACAGTTCCACCCTTTCTGTTGCCAAATCCAGCTAAACCTTTCCATCTATATACTGATGACAGGAGCTCCATCTACTATTTCTTGAGAACCCTGATATTAGCCACTCTCAATCACCTTCCCTAAACCTGGCCATCCTACTTCCAGTAAACATCTTGACTTATTGACTTATTATGACCATAGCTGCCCTGAAGTTCTTGAAGATATGGACTCTTTACTTCCCTCCCTATCTGACCAACCCATCCCTAATCCAGAAGATACTGTTTCTTGACGGCAATTTACTGACAGGCAGCCTATGCTGTAGTTTCCATAAACAGAGTGTGGAAAGCAGAAACTTATTTCCTATTTCCTTAGCCTGTATCAGAACAACACCTCTTTCATCATCCTTTCTAAGCCCCTTTGAGCTGATGTATGGGTGACTGTTTCTGCTGAACCATAATCTCCCCAGTGAACCCCCTCTTTTAGCATCATATCTTCCTTATGTTTCCCTCATTAGGAAATTACTCCAGGAACCCCCAGAAGGCTGCATACCCCGACCCTCGCCTAAAGGTCTAGACCACACAACTTAAGATGCCCTGGGAGACACCGTCCTCATCAAATGTCATGTATCCAAACCTCTTCAACCACGCTAGGACAGACTTTACATAGTCATCCTAACTACTCCACAGCAGTTAAGGTGCCCCCATTAGGTAAACCCCATTAGCACCACCTTTCCCAGGTTAAACATGCTCTTCTCACTGAGAAGACAGCCTATACCTCTCAAATGGTGGGCCCCACTACTCTTCACCTCACTCAGATTCCAAGACCTAAGTAGCTCTTCATATTACTACTAATCACTCCCTGCCTTTTTTAATTCATACTTCACAGAATAAAAGAAATTACCAACTTAACAGTGAACCAGCTGCTGTGACATCCATATTCTCCCCTGGCTACTGGTCCTAGGAAAACCCATTCCAGCATCTGAGCCCCAGATCTACACCTCTGTTCAGCAGGAAATAGCTAGAATAAAGATAAGTCACCTTTTTTCTTACTAAAGAGGCTGGGATGTCAGGCCCAAACCAAGGTAAAAGGAGGAGAATGAAGGATTCAAAGAATATCAACATGTCAACAAAGGGAGTGAACAGCCTCACCCATCTGGCTAAGCCACAATGGAATGTCCCTCGCTTCCCTACCTAAAGACCCTATTATAAAAACTTACACCAACCCGTATGAGGGCAGGGTTTTCCCCTGGTCTGTCTCTCTCTCCAGACCAAGGAATCCCCACCTCAAAACCTACTCCCACCCTCAGCACCCTTAATAAAGCTTCTTTAGCTTTCTCTTTTAAAAAAAATAAATAAATATCCAACACCAAAAACAGTTCTTCTCTGATGGTAAAAGTATTCAAAATCAAGCAAAGGATAGTAAGATCAGCTTCTGTCATTGTAACAACAGTGTGACATGGAGGTTAAAAAGTGGAGCGAGATGGTCTGAGCAACTGGCACCTCCAATGAGGGCCAGGGGGTCAATTCAACAAGGCAGACCTCGCATAAAAGGAAGCTTTACCCTGAAAACGTGTTAACACAATAAAGATCATGGAAATAAAAGGAGTCTCTATTTGTACCCATTCTAGAAAAAGATTAGCCCGTGCACGAGGACCCAGCAGCACTTCTTCTATGTCAGGGGAAGAGGCAGACCTTGGGAGGTGTGCCAGAATTTCCGTGAGAGACAGACTCCACCAAAGAGATCTCTTCCAGGGCCCAGATGGAGCAGTCCTGGGTTGTGGGTAACATCGCCCCGGAACCTCCACCTCTAATAACCTGACACTGTAAGATGGGGGGCTAGGCAACAGAAAGAGATTTAGATGACTGACAATACAGATTCTCCTTTGTAAACTAATAAATTTTCATTTATTCGTCAAGAGTTAAGACTTGCAGTAGTAAACTTCTCAAGCCTAAAATATAACAGGTGTACCAAGAAAATGAGTCTCTAGAACAATGGTTCTCAAGCTCCAGAAGAATGACAACAGTCACCTAAAAACCTATTTCAAAACTCGCAGGTTCTACTTTCCACATATTCTGGACGGGAGGTCTAGGGAATCTCTGTTTTTATTAAATAGTCCAGATTAATATGATACAAGAAGTAAACAGGCCACTTTAAAAAGTTCTACTCTAGGATTTAAAAAATAAGGGCTAGACTCTGAAAGAAAGCAAGTTCAATTAAACCCCACTTTCCTTGGGAGGCCAAAGCATGTACAGCAGCCAGCTTCTCTCCATGGCATTTCTATTTACCCCTTTTCTATCTTACTCACTATTAGCTACCTCACTTGCATACTGTGAAGGGTTAAACCAAACAGTACAAACACGTGGTGAAAAATTAGAAAATAACTCAATTCTCCTAATTTATATGTGCATTAAGAGATTTACTGACTGTATCCAAAAGTTCTGATTCCAAAAGTGTGTGTGTGTGTATATATATATATATATATGAGCAAATTAAAAAAAAAAAAGGTATCTTTTTTCTGGAAAACTAATTGCACAGCTGAGAATGAGGAAGTAGGAGAAATTCTGTAAGTGGTCCAACAGACACATGATGATAAACTACAAAGATCAAAAGCTGAAAGGTAAGAAATATCCTGGCTTGGCCACTTCCTAGCTAGGAAAGTAACTACACAATCCTTTAAGCTCTTCTTCTTGTCTGGGGCTGTTGAGGCAGAATGGACCCAGAGCTGACCCTCTAGCAGCTGTAAATCACACGGGAGGAGACTGCCTATCTTTCTCCTGCAGAGCAGCTTTTAGAGCGGCTGGCAGGTTCACACCACAGGCTTTTCGGATAGTAGTTGAGCCACCAGGGCTCCTTCTATTAAAGATGACAGCATTTTACCCAGACTTACAGTATCACTGTGAACTAGAATCAACATGATGGGAATGAGCTTTATCTGATATAAACTAAGTATATTTCTTACCGTTGGCAGCTTCCTGCATTCTTATTCTATTTAACTTCCTCTGCTGTTCTCTTAGGAGAGCTTGCTGTTGAATCTCCAGGGTATAGTGATCTCTTGGGGGATCTGGGTACATATATTTCAGATCAACTCTTGTTTCTGAATCTAGTGCAAGAAAGACATTATTCAGCTAAATTAAAATCTTGATTCTAGCTGAGATTTTCTAAAACTTCATTATAAGTAATATGAGTAACAATTTTAAAATCAAGGAAGGAACAATACAAATAAATGGGTTTAGAATCAGGAAAGATGTCTGGGTTGACTCCTTTCTCCTCACTTATTCAATCTGTATGCTAAACACTCAAGAAGCTAAACTATACTATAAGAAGAAGAATCTGAAATCAAGATTAGAGGAAGACTGACATAGATTGCTGCTGTTGTTTTTGTTAGTTAGGTGCCATCAAGTTGACCATGACTTACAGCAACCCTACAAGCAGCAGACTTGAATCCTGTTATATCCTACGCCATCCTTACCATCCCTGCTATCCTCCAGCCCACCACTCCAGCCACACTGTCAATCCATCCCAATGAAGGTCTTCCTCTCCATTTATTAAGGAAGCTATTTCTTCTTCACTTAATGCACTTCATCTCCTGATTAGAGATCATTGCCCTGATTCTCCTTTCTATTCCACTAGCCTATGTACCTGTCATTGTACCAATACCAAACGGTTCTGATTACTGTAGTAGTTGGGTAGTAGGTTTTGAGAGCAGAAAGCATAAGGCTTCCAACTTTGTTATTCTGCTACAAGTACAGACTATCAATTAATGAGGATAAAAGTGGTAAACATTAAATTGCAAATCTTGAGAACAAAATATAATTTATACACAGAGAAATTCTTGAAAATATTATCCACACTGGTCTATTAATTATAATCTTAAATATATAAAAAGCTTTGATAACAAACAATCAAAATAGTATATTAGTGACAATAATAATTACTGTGAGCAATCCAAGAATTAGAAAACCATGAAGAGTAGCATGCATTGGTTAGCACAAGAGGCTCATGAACTTTGATTGGGCCCTGTCTTTACTACTTTTACATTCATTTTCTTCATCTGTAAAGCCAAGAGATACCAACAACTAAGTCATATCTCAAATGAGAACTACCAGAATAAGAAACATTAACAACTCAAGTTTATGACTTAAACCTTCTTGGTCTTATGACTTCTTTAACCTCAAACTAATTGTTGTAGAGTTAGAATCTGCTCAGTCGACCTTCCAGCAGGTTTGCTGAGCCTGTAAATTGCACAAGAGGAGACTATCCATCTTTCTCTGGAAGAGCTGGTGGGCTTTGAATCCCTAGAGAGGCACCACCTTTGAGTAGGTAGGGCAACTCCCTTCTCACTAGGCCACCAGAGCTTCTTAAACACCTCTAGACTCTTAAAAACTGCAAAGCTCAGTGCTCCCTGGGTGATACAAAGAGTTAAGCTCTCAACTACCAGCCACTCTGAACTAATTCAGAGATGGCCTGGAAAAAAGTCCTGGCAATATGTGACTTTAAAAACCCTAAAGAGAAGTCTACTCCACACACATAGGTCCACTATGAGCTAGAATGAACTCCACAGCAACAGCAGCAAGGATTAGAGAAATGTAGGCTAGAAATGTAATGGGATTATCCTTTCCTAAAAATCAAAATGACTTCCTCAAATACATAAAGAAATAACAACAACAAAAATTAAGGACCTCAAAGTGCTTTCAGTGCTGTGTGTGTCTCTCACAGAAACACATACACAAACACACACACACACACATACTTTAGGAAGCTCTAGTGAGCAAGAGGTAAGGAGTGGCATTGCCAGCCGCAAGGTTATTTCCATCAAGGAAACAAGATGCCAAAGGGTTCAAATCCACCAGGTGTTAATGCAGAAGAAAGACTGGCACTCCCTCATGGGATTCACTGCCTCTGAAAACCCGCAGAGGGTCAGCTACAGGTTAGTTCCAACAGGACGATACATAACAATAACTACCAGCTTTATTAGTGAGGCCATCACATGTCTTTGTAGCCATTAGAAGCCCTTACTGAACACTCAAGAGAGAATGAGAGTAAACAACAAGTAATGTATTTATTTAGTTATAAAGATAATTTTGATTTCATAAATCACTAAAAAGACCCCCACAGGTGCCTAAAGCAAATGCAGAACTATGACTTAGGACAATGTCTGGCATATAGTAACTAATCAATAAATGACAAGAATAAAAAAGAAAGTAAGGATACTATTATGTGAAAGATGTAACTCTGTTATTGTTGTTGTTGTTATGTGCCATCAAGTTGCCAGCAACTCATAGTGACCTTATGTACAACAGCCCTAAACCCTGCTCTATCCTTTGCCAATCTTATTGTCTCTGACACACCCACTCCCATTACCCCAGTCACTGAATCAGTCTATCTCATTAAGGGTCTGCCTCTTCTGGACTGTCCCACTGCCCTCCCAAGCATGACATCACTCTCCAAGGACTGATCCCTCCTTGCAACATGTCCAAAGTATGTCAGGCGAAGCTTCAGAATCCTTGCCTCCAAGGAGCAGCCTGGCCTCACCCTCTCTAGGACAAACTTGTTTATATTCAATATTCTTCTCCAGCACCACAGCTCAAAGGCATCAATTCTCCTATCCTCCCTGCTCATTGTCCAGCTTCCTGCGGCATAGCAAGTAATTGGATAGACCATGGCCTAAATCAGGCACACGTTAGTCTCCAGACTGACATCATTTCTCTTCAGTACTTTGGAAAGGTCTCTGACAGCAGACTTTTCCAGTGCAATTCATCTTTTAATTTCCTGGCTGCTGGTACCAAGAGTGTTGATTGTGGAGCCAAGCAAACTAAAGCTGTGAACAATCTCAATCTCTTCACCATCTAGAGAAACACAGGATTAATGAAAACTAGTGAGGCCTGGGTGATGGAACATATATTGTTGTTGTCTTGGGCTTTCAAGTCTTTGAACTTAGGTGTGGAGTGGAGGAAGCAAATTGTTTGATGCGTCATGATTTGACTTCATGCATTTTTCTTATTTTTAAAAGTAAGAGCATTTGTATGGTGTAAATATAGTATATATTAAATTTGAAAATACAGTAAGTTAACAAGAAGAGAAAATGCCATTTTTATTCAAACTTCTATGAACACCATTAACAATCTATACTTTTTCTAAATCTTCTTTCTGATTATAATTAAAACAAAACAAGATGCCATTTTTTTAGATTTCATCTTCTGTGTGTTCCATTGCCCAGATCTCACTAGGCTTCATTAATTCCATGTTTCCCTAGTAAGCTTTCTCCCTATTCTAAAACGTTCCATCAAATCTCCACCCTTATCCTCAGCTCCCCTGAGTTCTCCAAGAATAATCACCTCCTTCTCCTCTTCCTCCTTTGTTATAATTATTTCCCATAAGACCTTATTTATTATTTGAAGATCATTTGCAAATTTAATTGACTTCTGATTCCATAATTCTACTTAAAATGAGCTAGCAAGGCTGCCAATGACCTCTGATTCAACTGACACTTTTTAATATCCACTCTCCCTAGAGTGGATTATACTCTCTTTCCCAGTCTTACAAGATAGTACAGTCTCCCTTTTCTCCTCCAACCACACTTGCTTCTCCTGCTCAGTGTTCTTCATAAACTCCTCTTCTTCTATCCCTCCTCCATTAAATGCCAAATCTCACTTCTGATAGGAGTCCCTGCACTTGGATGCCAAATAAGGCTTAGATGTTTGAACCCATGCAGAGGCTCTTCCCATGAAAATCCTGGAAGTTTTCCTCTGACAAGTCCTGGCCTGGATAACTCCACGGAGCACAGGTTCTACTCCATAGCGCACTAGACTACCAAGCTGCAGAGGCAGCAGCTTTGGTTCTGCTCCATTCTTCAGGGTATTATTTCCATGTGAGTTCATCCACTCCCATTGCTTTAATGGCTAGATGATTTTCACAAGAGAATATTTCATCAAACTAGGAAGCAGGAGTGGCATCTACTTCCTAAATAACATGCCTCTGGAAACTCTGTGAACTTTGGTAAATGTCAATAGTTGTAGAGCGACTTCAGGCCTTTTGTTCACAGGTTTGCTATGAGTCGTGCTTGACTCGAAGGCAAAGAACAACAACAACAAGCTTCATTTACCAAACTGGCAAATTGAAGAACAAGAACATAAAGCGTTATTGATCATAATCAAATAAATACAGTATAAATTATACTTTTAAAAAAGTTAAACTTTAAAAAGTATATATATTCTCTATTTTTAGAACATTGTGACATATCTTTGAAACAGCAGCATTCTACTCACCTTTATCTTTCAGCTCATTAAAGTCATGAATATTCTGAAAAGTGGTGGGGTCCAGGCCCCTTGGGGAGGGCCGTCTGACAGGAGCTTGTAGCCGATGTCTGGCCATGTCAAACACATCCATGGGGTTCCTTTCTCTTTTCCTACAAACAAATGACAAACTATGATAACTGTGTTTTGAGGGAAGAAAATTTGAGTTCATATGTATTTGATCACTTTCATCACAATATATTATAAAATTTAATATAATGGCTATGATTTCCTTATTTAAAAATAAGGTATTTATACTTTCAGAAAACTCAGAAAACAACTTACAAGAGTAGAATTGTTTAGATTTACATTAAAATGTTCATAGAGAAAGATGAGTGTTTGAATTCAGAAAAATCTCTTCTCCATTTATCCACGGGAGAAGGATGGGCAATTGCTTCCTGTGTTATTAACTGTCTCTGAAAACCTTCTAGAGGGTCAGGTAGGAGCCCGTTCCAACTCTGTGGTACACAACAACACCAGCTCCACTTATTATGATGTTTCTTAGTGATTCTGTTTTGAAAATATACATTATACTGGAACAGTTGTGCTTAGACCTCCACTGAAACATTTATATAGAACTTAACTTCTTTAGGGGTAAAGCTATTTCCGTTATTATAATGTCATTAATAATGTACTGTAACCATTTTTCATTATGGTTACTGTAATTCTGAAGCTCTGGTGGCCTAGTGCAAGAAGCTGTGCTGCAAACCCAAAGGCACGCAGTTCAAGGCTACCAGCTGCTCCACGGGAAGATGGGCAACCTCCTCCCATGCAATTAACTGCCTCTGAAAACCCACCGGAGTGTCAGCTATGGGTCAGTTCCAACTCAACGGCACACAACAATAACTAAAATTCTAATTTAAGGGAGCACTGGTGGCCTAGTGGCAAGAAGCTGTGTGGCAATCCCAAAGGCACACTGTTTGAATATACCAGCTGCTCCACAGGAGAAGGATGAACTATCTCCTCCCATGTGATTAACTGTCTCTGAAAAACTGCTGGAGGGTCAGCTAGGGTCAGTTCTGACTCTACAGTACACAACAACAAAATAATTCCAGTCCCTTTCCAATAAAAATTAGTTAATCCAATCGCTGCTAACTTCTAAACTACTGACAGGATTTCTTATCCTGAATATAAAAGAATTCAAGAAAAAGTGAAAAATGTACTTAAAACTTGCCTTATATGAGTGTCATCATCACTGTCCAGGTTTAACAATCGCCCTTGTAGACGCCTCTCTTCACTACGAAGCTGTTTTCTCATTTCTGATAACTCCATAATTACATTTTTTTTCTCCTCTTCAAATTCATAAGTAAAAAATAAGATAGGTTTAAGAACAAAATATTAAAGTGTAATCTTCATAAAGCTAAACTTCTTGATCAGAGATATTTTTATGAAAGTATTTTTAAATATATATATATATACACACACACACACATAGTCGTTGATTGCCTTTGAGTCAAGCACGACTCATAGCAACCCTATGAACAAAAGGCCTGAAGCCCCTCTACAACTATCAACATTTATTAAAGTACACAGAGTTTCCGGAGGCAAGTTATTTAGGAAGTGGATGCCACTCCTGCTTCCAAGCCTGTCACAGTACGTTATTGTTGTTATGTGCCACTGAGTCTCCTGCGATGCACAGCGCCCCTATGTGCAGCAGCTCTGAACCCTTCCCTGTTCTGAGCTAGTCTCACTAACTGTGACACACACATTACCATTGCCCCTGTTACAGTATCAATCCATCTCATCCAGGGTCTCCCTCTCCTGCGCTGTCCATTCACCCTTCCAAGCATGATGTCCTTCTCCAAGGAACAATCTCTCCTGGCCACATGACCAAAGTAAGTAAGGCAGAGCTTCAAAATCCTAGCCTCCAATGAGAGACCTGGTTTCACCCTCTCCAAGACAGATCTGTTTTCTTGGCAGTCCATGGTATATTCAAGACTCTTCTCCGGCACCACAACTCTAAGGCACCTATTCTTCTGTCATCCTTAGTCACCCAACTCTCTGAAGCATAGCAAGTAATTGAGAAGACAATGGCCTGAATTAGGTGCACCTTTGTATCTAGACTGACATCGTTGCTCTTCAGCACTCTGAAGAGGTCGATGACAGCAGATTTTTGCAATGCAATTTGTCATTTGATTTCCTGACTGCTGGTGTTAAAGTACAAGTGTTAATTGTGGATCCAAGCAAGCTTTAACTGCTAACAACCTCAGTCTCTTCTCCATCTATTATGGTGCTGCCAATTGGCCCAGTGGTGAGAATCTTTGTCTTCTTGATGTTGAGCTTCAATCTATATTGAAGACTACAGTCCTTGACCTTTTGCAGCAAGTGCTTCAGGTCTTCTTCAGTTTCAGCAAGCAAGGTTGTGTCATCTGCCTACTGTAGGTTGTTAATGAGTCTCCTTCCAATCCTGATGCCACACTCCTCCTGATAAAGCCCTGCCTCCCGAATGATCTGTTCTGCATACAGAAAGAAAAGATATGTGGACAGGATGCATCCCTGACACACTCCGTTCCTAATTTTGAACCATGCAGTGTTTCCTTGCTCTGTTCTGAAGATGGCTTTTTGGTCCAAGTTTTGTATAAGCATGATCAAGTGCTGTGAGATTCCCATTTTCCTCAAGGTTAGCCAGAATTTATTGTGATGCAGACAGTTAAATGCTTTTACATAGTGAATGAAACACAGATAAAATATTTTTCTGGTACTCTCTGCTCTCTGCCAAGATCCATCTGACACTGACAATAATATCCCTAGAGCCATGACCTCTTCTACACAGACACACACACATATTACAGCTACCAAATCTATGAAGAGCATTAAGACCTACAAAATACAATTCTGAAAATATAAGAATTTCAAAAGTTAAAAGATCTGGTATAAAAAACAATGTATATGAACTATGTAAGCAAGCAAACCATTTAAAAATTTATTAAATTAAAAAAAAAAGAATTTCAAAAGTTACAAAATATTCTTAGGGTGGGGGGCAATTATAAGCAGGAAACCCAACGGAGTTCCCTTTGTGGTTACGGAACAATTCTGTATATTTTTATTATAGTGTTGTTTGCATGAATCATACACGTGATAAAATGGAACTTTACACAAAACACACATATGAATGTAAGGACTGGCAAAATCTGAGTCAGGTGTAAAGAGTGCACCAATGTTATGTTTCTGGTTGTGAAATATACAGGTCACCAGCGCAGAAAGCTCAGGGGAGGGATCTGTGCACTCTCACTGTTTTTGTAACTTTTCTGAGTCCATGACAAACTTATACAAAAAGTATATAAAAAGAGAAAAAGAAGGCATATTTTAGCTTACAAGTTTAATAGTTACTATACCTTCTGCACGGAGCTGATTTTTCCTGGCAGGTACTGGAGGAGACTGGGCCCTGGACATGGAACTTTCCTATTTTAACAACGATACGAAAGATAAGCTCAGAATGTCTTTCACAAAGGAGTAATTTCTGAAGGAAATATATGTCACAGAACCAAATCACCCACTCTCTTACCTACAAACTTACCCAAATCTCTATCTACTCTTCTCACCTCCAAGGAGGAGCTTTGTTCTTATCTAAGACAGAAAGATAATTGCTTCACCTGTACACTAATTAGGGACTTGCCCTAGCTTTCTTTAAAATCAAAACAAAAACCTTTACCACCACCTTCTTTACTGTCTCCTGTGCAATCACTCCTTCCCATCACAGCCAAGCTTCTTAAAGGCATTCTCCATGCTATCTACATCCTTCACTAATCAATCAAATTAATTCAAACTAATTTCAACTAGTCAGAGAGAATGTCTTTGTTTCTACTCATTACTTCCACTAATTTGCTCTGAATGATCACCAAATGAACCCCCACATGACACATTCTGTAAAGGCCATTTCTAAGTCCTTACTTTATATAACTTGTGGCAACTGCTGTGACTGCCTATTATCTAGGCTGCCTCCAATTCCTTTCCCTGCTTCTAATATGCTTTTAACTCATAAATGTTCTATAATCAAACATACTTATTCACACTTTTCTTCCTTTACACACTTACTCCAGATAATTACATAAATCTGTCAAGTACTTAATCTGCTAATGACTTCCAAAACTACAAATCTAATCCGTAAGTCCTTCCTCAGTCATAGCCAATATTCTCAACAAGCTACTCTACATAACTTTCACCAGACACTTGTAAGCTATTACTCTTAGTTACCATGCACTCAGTCAGTAAATACCACTATTAATACATCATTCTTAAATATGTTTAGAGCAAACATTTCCTCTTCTGAGTGTAATTTTCTTGGTTAAAGTCAAATTCTTTCTTTCAGACTTCAGCAAAAGCATCTAGTCTCTATATTCTCATCCTCTGCATCACTCCTTAAGAGAACATTTTACAAGACAGAAGTGGTCATGTCATTCTTCTGTTTATTATCCTGCAACACGTCCTACACATTATCTGCTATCAACCCTATAAATCAAAATCTCAAAGGGTTGGGCTCAGGAAAATGTCTAATAAGTCTCTTTGCCTATTCTGGTAATTATTCTGTTCAGCACCCAGTAAGTTAAGCTCCTCAATACTCCACATTCAAGTCTGCATCTGTCCTGGCCTTTACCTTGTACTTCTCAGTTTACAGGTATAATCAGGTCACACCAACCATGCAGTATACTCTATGGCTGTCATGTTTGCCTATACTTTGCTCCATGCCAGACATCCAACACTTTCCTTCTCTTCATGGTAAATTCCTACTCATTCTTCAAGACTCAACTCATGGCTCAATTCCTCTAAAACACATTTCCTGCTTTCTTTAGAATTGTGACTCAGTCCAAATTATAAAAAAATCATCATTAATAATAATAATAATAATAATTATTATTATTATTATTATTATTATTACTACTACTACTATAACTACACCATTAGCATCACTACAGATAGCTGAAAGGGACAGACCTTCAAAGAAAAGGCCTTGCTGACATGCTTAGACAGGTATCATCACCCAAATTAAGGTAAGGATTTAAACTTTAAGACATAAGAATTACCAGTTACAACTAAGTAACAGGCAAATTAATGCATACATAACTCTGTTGCATGGGAAGCTATATTGCAGAACTAATTAGATGACCCCTAACAATAGCCACTACCTAGATTTCAGACTTGAAAAATTTAACTAAACAGGAAGTGTAAAAAAAATCTCACTCTAATCCTAAATAATTGATCTAAGAAGCAATTAATTCATACAAAACATACATACACGAAGAAAGGAATTTATGATGCTGTCAACAGATGGAGGTCTTTGCAGTCTGCTACCCATTTTATTCTGAAGAGCAGGAACTACAGGAGAAGGCTGTCTCACGTGCTGAAAAGTCAAAACAAATAAATAAGGATTATATAGAGCTTGTATTATTTATTGCTGTTACTAGTATTGTTGCAGGATAAGAATGGGCAATTTCCTCCCCGGGATTAAGTGATTCTGAAACCACGCCAAAGGGTGAGCTATACCAACTTGACGGTATACAACAACAGGACTTTTGTTATTGTTGTCAGGTGCTGTGGAGTCGAATACAACCCACAGCAATCCTATGAACAATTGATCAGAATCCGTTCCTATCCTGTGCCATCCTCATACCTTCTAACACATTAGAGTCCTTTGCAACAGTCACTGTGTCAATCTACCTGGTCGGAGATCTTCCTCTCCTTCACCAACCCTCCACCTTTTCAAGTACCATATCCTTCTTCAAGGAACAGCCCCTCCTAGCAACATGCCCGAAGTATGTAAGGCAAAGACTCATCATCTTTGCCTCCAAAAAGCACTTTGGCTTCACTTTCTTCAAGACATATTTGATCGTTCTTTTAGCAGTCCATGGGATGTTCCGTGTTCTTCTCCAATACCATACTTCAAAGGCACCATTTCTTTTGTCATCCTTCGTCATTATCAAGCTCTCAGATGCATAGCAAATGATCAGAAACACCATGACCAGAATCAGATGTACCTTATTTCTCAAACTGACATCATTAATACTCAATAATCTGGAGAGGTCCCTAAGTGCAGAGTTCCCCAGCTCAATACATCTCCTAATTTCCTGACTGCTGCTACCAAGGGTGAAAATGCCTCCCAGTGACAAACTTGAAACTCACTGCCATGAGGAGATTCTGACTCAACAAGACCTTCCATTGGGTTTCTGAGGCTACAAACTGACAGGAGTTGACTGCCCGTCTTTCTTCCCCAAAGTCACTGTGGTTTCAAACCTCTGGAGGTGGGTGGCGTCTGGGTTAGCAGTGCACCATGTGATGGGCCATCACTGGGACTCCTCCTCCACATATAAAGAGCAATAAAAAGTGAGAAAGCCATATTCTATCAAAGACAGAAGTGCATTACACAAATTTTTGTGTTTCTAGTTTATATAAAAGTTGTGATTGTATGATATTGATCCATCTCATCCAGGGTCTTCCTCTCCTGAGGAGCTTCCCTCCACCCTTCGAAGCATGATGTCCTTTTCCAAGACTGGTCTCTCTGGTCATGTGCCCAAAGTGTGTGAGATGGAGCTTCAAAATCCCAGCCGCTAAAGAGAAACTTGATTTCACCCTCTCCAACACAGATCTATTTCTTTTCTTGGCAGTCCATGGTATGTTCAAGACTCTTCCCCAGCATCACAATAATTCTTCTGTCATCCTTAGTTATTGTCCAGATCTCTGAGGCATAACAAGTAATTGCAAAGACCATGGCCTGGATTAGGCACATCTTAGTCTCTAGACTGACAGTGTTGCTTTTCAGCACTGTATAGTCTATCTTTGGAAGCAGGAGTGGCATCCACTTCCTAAGCAACATGCCTCTGGAAATTCTATGAACTTTGAGAAACAACGATAGTTATAGAAAGGCTTCAGGTCTTTTGTTCACAGGGTCGCTATGAGTTGTGCTCAACTCCATGGCAACCAACAACAATAGTCTATCTAAAGTGTATAAAAGCATTATGAATAATACTGAAATAATGCAAAAATTACCAAAATATGACACACAGATACAATGTAAGCACAAGCTGTTGGGAAAATGGTATCAATACATGCTTAGTACAGTATTACCATAAACCTTCAATTTGTTTAAAACAAACAAACAAAAAAACCCTGTCAATATCTACAAAGCACAGTAAAGTGAAACTCAATAAAATGAGGCTAAAAGAATATTAGGAAAGCCCGTAATACACTTAAAAACAATGGTTTTAAAATCCTCAGATGACCACAAGGGCAATTATAGAGAAAACAGAAACCATTTAAAGCACTGATGAGGAAGAAAACAAACCATAGTACATGGAACCAGAAAAGGAAAACTATGAAGGGAGCAAACACAAACAAATCCAACTACACTAAATCAAATACATATGTTCCTCACTTTGTGAAAGTTCACTTTAAGTTGTTTCACTTTTAGCAAAGACCTACACTGTTGTTGCTGGGTGTCCCATTGAGTCAACTCACAGCAACTCCATAAGAATGGATCTGAACCTTGCCCTAACCTGTTCCAACCACATCATCTCCAGTAGGATCGAGCCCACTGGTATAGTCACTATGTCAATCCAGCATGTTGAGGGTCTTCTACTCTTTATCTGCCGACCCTCCACCTTTGCAAGCATGCATGTCCTTTCCCGAGGACTGGCCCCTCCTGACAACATGTCCAAATTACATGAGACAAAGTTTCATTATTCTTGTCTCCAAGGAGCACCATGGATGTACTTTTTCCCAAGACATATTTGTTTGTTCTTTGGTAGTTCATAGGATATTCAACACCACAACTCAAAGGCATCGATTCTTCTTCTGTTTTCCTCATTCGCTATGTAACTTTCAGCTGCATAGCAAGTAACTGAAAGATCATAGGTTTGTTTTTTTTTTTTGTTTTTTTTTTGAAAGATCATAGTTTGGATAAAGGGATACCTATCAATTATGACAACACAAATTAATTTGGGTATTTGTTAAACTATGGCTCTCAAAGGAGCCCTGGTGGTCTAGCGGTAAGGAGCTGCACCCGTCATCCTGTTTCAACCAACTGCATCCCTGAGAATGCCTGTAATAAGAAGACTGCTAAGCTTCCCCTAGGTTTGGCAAGTCATGGGGAAACCAAAAATTTGCATTTCGTCCAGACACTCAATAATAGTTATATACACACAATTTTCAGTATAATTTGGGAAATATGAGCAAAGGTGTGCACAGGATCCTTAAAAGGGCCAATTAATCATTTCTGTGGGTATGTGGTACCAGATCAATTTTCATTCTAGTACGTGAATGCTTTATAAACATCAAGAGACTGTTGTGCACATTCAATAAAGCACCAACTGGAATCCACCAGATGCGCTGCTGGAGAAGGAAGGACAACCTCCTTCTGTACCAGTCAGATCCAATTTGACGATACGCACACAAAAAATAATAAAAATTTTAAACAAAGCGACAACTGGGCAATACCACTTAGTGTTGCAAAATCACGAAACCTAGTTTTCAGTTGTTTAAACACAATCCACAGAATTAAAAACAAAATTAGAAGCCATTACAGTTCTACTAATTAGCAATGAAATGTTTTCTATTTAATACTTGATTTAACAGTTAATATCTAATAAGGGATGCTGAAATTGACTTCCTATTCTCATCCTGAAGGTTCTAGTCGATTGGGAAGGTCTGATGGGAAGGTATGCAACTGGCCGGAGGTGGGTACAACCAGGACCAGTACAGCAAGTAAAGATCTACCACAGTTCCTGTAGCTCCACATAATTTTTTTCCTTCCTCAGTTAAAAGTGAACAGTGAGAATTATTTATCTTTACATATACACAAGGTATGCTGAGAAAGCATACTTGTTTACAAGCATATAAAAATACTTGTTAACTAGTTTGATAAGAAAATAATGTCTAAAAGTATGTAGCAAAAACATTCATCATCTCTGACTGTGGAAAGATCAATTCCATATTTTATATTACATCAAAAACTAAAGGCCATGTTAGTTGTTTTTACTTGAATCCTTATCCAGAGGTACTTGGAAAAAGGCAGATAGACAGAAATTACTCATTTTTACCCTCAACATGGCTGTGAAAAGTCAAATTAAAAACAAGAAGAATACCAAAATCCAGAATGAATCGAAATATTTAGCCTCCTAGAATACAGTCATCTTCAAGAACAGGCGTAATAATAAAGGCTTAGAAGTAGTTGGTAATCCACATGCACAGTAGCATTTTGGAATATGGCCACTGGGAAGGGAAGAGGGAAGCACTGGCATCAGTAAGATCTGAGATATCTCACTTTTGTAGACACAATACAGTGTTTTTAAGGCTAAAGTTGACAACAAAACATTTTAAAGGGGGTGAAAATACACATTTTTTAAAAAACTCCTTATGTTTCTTCTTAAAGTAACAGTAGGCAATAAATTTCCAGAAGTTAAAAATTATTTTGTAACCTATGCCTTCAGGTTGGCAAACAGCTTGGGTTTTAAAACGGATTCATCCCATTAAAACAGAGTTCTTAAAAAAAAAAAAAAAAAAAAAGAACACGTTGTAGAGATATGTATTTTTGAGGTATCAGATAATCTTAAAAGCAACCTTAGTTTCCTTTAAACATCTCTTGAAAAGACCATAGTATTAGTTTCACAGAAAGATTAGGCAGCTTCTTGGTCTAAGACTAACTCCAGCTAGAAAGGTACCAATATGAAGTGAATTGTAAAGTGGGACAGAGATGAGGGTTTTCCCTGTCAGTCAGCAGCTGAAACTCATGGGATTCTTAGGAAATGACACAATGGCCACCTTTCTTGTCTTTCTCTTCCTGGCTTAGTTCCAGAGGAAGTAGACACTCCTGCTCTTGAAATCTCATTACAACCTAGACAAGCTCATGAAAAGCCTGAGCTACATGCATCCTAATCTTTGCAGACACCTCCATACATGTACCTTAAATTGCAAGCTGTTGTCCTTCTTGTGTTATCTGTCTTTGATGATCTAAGTCTGCTTTATTACCAATTAAACTCATTGGAAACTCATCACAATCCTTTACTCTGAGAATCTGTCTTGGAAATATATAAATTTCTTCAAAACTGCCTCTGTGATCAAAAACACCATCAGGAAACCCTCGTCAGCCCTCACATACTGTTTTCTCACAGCTCCAAACTCTTCTTTGTCTTGCTGTATCCAGAATATCTAGCTGGCCTACTCTGCATCTATCACACATTGTTTTGTGTAGGAATCTTCAATAGTTTGGGTCATAAACGGTCACAAAATACAGGACTGGATGAACTAGATAGTGAGCGCCGACAACCACAAGTCAGTACTACTTCTGGTCAGAACTGTCCCGCCAGCTGGCCATGGCCATGGGGACGACACTGAGCCCAGCCCGGCTGTGCTGAGCCACTGCCTGCACTAGGCCCAGGCTCCAGAGACGTGTGTGGCCGGTGGGGCATGCAACTGGGCAGGGGCCCCAGCACCAGGAGCTGTCAGGAGGATCAGTCCGCGCAGCAGCATGGCACCTGGGGTTGGTCAGCTCCTGCCTGTGGAGCAGAGGAGTGGGCTGTCCACAGTCCAGGCGTGGCTGCAGCCAAGAGGGAGTGCTCCTCTACACGTCTCCACAGCACCTGCCCAACACAGCTCCCAGGCCCCCTACAAATGGCTGTCTGGGCCAATTACTCTTTTGGAGAGAAAAACCTCTTTAACAATTTTGATCTCTGCATCTAACCTTGAATGTCAACCTCCTTACTCAAACAAACTACTCTGTAGTGTAATCATCAGTTTAACCTCCAACTTAAAGTGGGTAGATACATAAAAGAGAGTAAGAATGAATTTGTTGTTGTTACGTGCTGTCGAGCCGCTTGCCCTAAACCCTCCTCTATCCCTTTCCAATCTTACTGTCTCCGACAAGCCTATCCCCATTACCCCAGTGACAGAATCAATCCATCTCATCGAGGACCTTCCTCTTAGATAAATGAAAAAAGAAAATTAAAAACACATAAATTTAAGCCCAACGTTTTTATTAGATCAAACAGACATAAAATTATTTTTATAAATTGCTACAAGCTTCTAAACACTTTAACCTCTTTAACACTTAACTTCTTTACTTATCATGTCATGAATTGTTGTTCAGTGCCATTGAGTCAAATATGACTCCTAAATGACCCTATGAACAATGGATCTGAACCCCGTCCTAGCCTACCCTATGCCTTCCTCATCATTTCTGACATGCTTCAGCATCATGAACCAGTAAGAATTTATGGAACGCTGCTCCACAGACCATACTCTTGGTATCACCACTATGGACCACAAAAACAAGACCACAAACAATTAATGAAAACCTATTACATTTACTCAATAGAAAATTCCAACAAAAGCAGTGTCACCTCTGTATCATCACGGCTAGATTATGGCATCTAATTATTTGTTAAACCCTAGGCTGCACTCTGCTTTGAAGTAGTTACATGTGACTGAATCAGGTGGACTTAGGTAAAGCAATTATCTTCTAGAAAAAACTGAAAGTTTTAACAGCAAAAGGGAGTTTCATGCCTCCCGCATACAGACATTTTGTTAGAAATCCCTCTTTCATTACCTTTAATACATATTCTGGAACATAAGACTGAAGGAATCTCTAGTCTGCTGCCTGATCTGTTAATTCGAGAGTTGGCAATTTCCCACAATTGTCAATTTCTTAAAAATCAATCATTGAATGCAATTCTCTCTCATATAAATATATCACATCACTGGTTCTGTTTTCTCTAGAGGATGCTAAGACACACAGTGACATCAACTCACAGAGGCGTTCGGTACATTGTGCCTTTACCAGATAGTAAGGTAGAAGGGAAACAAAAGCACCTTGTCCTATCTCTTCCCTGTTTCTATCACCCTCATAACTCTCATGTGAAAATGGTATGACTAAACTTTTGATATGGGCTTTGGTGATACAGTCCCGAGCGTGCTGCACTGCTAGCCCAAAGACCGTAAGTTTCTAGCAGTTCAAATTCACCACCAACAACTTGGGAGAAAGATAAGCAGTCTGCACTCACTGCAGTTTACAGCCTTAGAAACTCGATGGGAGAGCACTATGAAACGGAACCAGCTCAAGAGCAGCGGTTGACATTTTCACCAGAAACTTACCTTTGTTTCTTCTCCGGTCGTATTTTCTCGATCATAGTAGTTCTGCAGTTGCAGGTTGTGCTTTTCTTCTTCTTCTTTCTTTTTCCTTTCTGCTTCTTTTCGTCTTTCTTCAGCTAACCGAATCAATTCTTCATTTTTCAGCCTTTGCTATAGACAAAGCAACAGTAACAAAATCAGACATACTCACTCCATATATACATCCTACAGTCCATCAAAGGAGCTTCTTCCTTGTCTAAAAATCTCCTCATGTAACAGTTACTGCCTCTGAAAAATGCTAGAGGATCAGCATTAAGTCAGTTCCAACTCAACAGTGCACAACAACAGCATACACATCACACATATGTAAAATGAAATTATTTATATAATAAGATAATATTAGTTATCTTTCACTTGTATTTTTACTTTAAGAAGTTATCATTTATATCTTTTATTAAGTCTTTTTCTTAATAAAGTAATAGCTACTGAGTAAATATCCAGTGTTTCTTAGTGTACTACGAGATTGTTCTTTTATAAATAGCAAAGAGCTTTCAAGTCAAAGCTCAACAGTACAACCGAACTGAGGGGGACAGGCACCTCCTCCTCTTTCTCTCTCTTCTTCTCCTGCTCCTCTTCATATTCTTGCTGAATCCGTGCCCGCTGTTCTGAAAGCCGTTTTTCTTCTTTTTCTTCTGCAATTCTCAGCCTCAAACGCTCAGCTTCCTCCCTTTGCTTTTTTTCTTCTATCTAGGAATTTAAACAGTTATTTCTGCAAAGCTACTAAAAAATTAGAACAGTATTTTATTTTACCTGGTAGCCCACGAATTCAACATGTGCATCAAACAATTTTTGCAAATAAAAATTAGTTCATAAAATTGAACATTTTCTGTACTTTCTGAGAGGCTGTAAGAGAATATGCTAAAAGGTATAAATTAAAGTCCAGCTCCACCAAATATTACAAACTATTTGTCTTTAAGAAACTTTCTTAGTCTTAATTTTCCACATCTGATAAAAAGACCTATTAGTGACTATCTCATAAAGGAGTGCCCAAACAGCTGTGAACCAGTGCATATAAACACTCTATAAGCATTCTCTCTGTCTATGTACATGTTCTCAGGAAATAATTCAAAACTGTATTATTCTATGGGGATCTTGGCCTCGTGGTAAAGAAATGCACTGTCAACCCAAAGGCAGCCAGTTTCAACCTACTGCTCCTCGGGGAAAGATAAGTAATTCCCCTCCTGTGCAATTCACAACATCTAAAACCCACTAGAGGGTCAGCTATGAGTCCGTTCTCACCCCGCAGCAATTGACTTAACTTGCTATTATTCACTAATTATTGTTACTGTTTCATCTAAAATTCCTAGTCTTGATTAGTATCCTGAAAGAGAAAAATTCATATTTTAGTATTCAATAATTTTTTTTAAGAATCACTTTCCTAAAATACCATCTTCCCTGTCTTGGCAGACTGACGAAAAAATAACTAAAACTATTAGCTGTAAGATTTCTTGTTGTTGTTATGTGCTGTCAAGACTCACAGCGATCCTATGAACAAAAGTCTTGCAGTCCCTCTACAACTATCGACATTTACCAAAGTTCATAGAGTTTCTGGAGGCATGTTATTTAGGAAGTGGGTGCCACTTCTGCTTCCAAACCTGTCATAGTATATTATTGTTTTTATATGCCATTGAGTTACTTGCGATGTGTAACGACTACGTACAGCAGCTCTGAACCCTTTCCTGTCCTGAGCCACTCTCACTAACTAGAATACACCAACCCCCAACGTCCCAGTCACTGTATCAATCCATCTCATTCTGGGTCTCCCTCTCCTACAGTGCTCCAAGTACAGGTTTCGCATAAGCACAATCAAGTGTTCTGGAATTCCCATTGTTCTTAGAGTCAGCCACAGTTTGTTGTGATCCACACAGTTAAATGTCTTTGCATAGTCAATGAAACACAGATAGACATTCCTCTGGTCCTTTCTGCTTACAGCAGTTACTGGGTAGCAGTACAACTACCTATGGACTAAATCATCAGAGTTTAGACAAAAGTATTCATCTTAAAGGCCCTCCTGGGGCCTACAGTGCTCAGGACTATGATGGCAGTTACACTTATGCTATCTAGTAAAGAAGCCCTGGTAGCCTGATGCATTCAGTGGTTCCGAGCTGTTCAAGCTGTTCTGAGGAAGAAGAGGGGCCGGCTCCTTAGAAACCCCATGAAGGGTCACAATGTGTCAAAATCAACATGACAGCAGTGGCTTTGGCTTTTATATATAAAAGAATCTTTTAAACAACATAAACTTATACAATTAAAAGGGTCTTCCCCTCTGAATTCTACTCTAGACTTTGTTAAGATTGATCTCTGGTGGCCTAGTGGCAAGAAGCTGTGCTGCAATCTCAAAGGCACATAGTTTGAGACCACTAGATGCTCTTTGGGAGAAGAATGGGTAATCTCCTTCTGTGAGATTAACTGCCTCTGAAAACCTACCAGAGGGTCAGCCATGGGTTGGTTCTGACACTAAAGTACACAACAAACAACAAGAAGTATAATGGCAGCTACTTGGTTTTGTGGTAAGGAGTTGTGCTGCAAACCCAAAGGCACACAATTTGAGTCTATTAACTAGTGTATGGGAGAAACATGAGAAATTTCCTCCTGTACAATTTGCTGCTTTTGAAAATCCACTGAAAGGTCAGCTATGAGTTAGTTCCAACTTGACAGTACAGAACAACAACTTACAGATTTGACTTACTGTCGTCATAGGCAAGATACCACAGGATCTTCAAGCTCACCAGGTAACTGTGACCCTGCCTGACTTCAGCAGCCCCTACCCTTAAGTCTTCTAGTATCACTCCCTGAAACTCAGCATTCATTGTTGAGCCTCACAAAGGCCTTTCCACTGTTCCAATGTTCCTAGTCTAGCAAAATGTCCCTGTTTTCTATCTCCTCAATCCTCTAAAAACACATTACTATCAATCACCTTAAAGCTTGAATCCATTATGTTTCTTCCTTTCTTAAGAGTCTTTAATAACTAGGATTAGAAAGCACATATGTTTGAGGATTATTTACTTAAGAGGTGTCTGTTTCAGAGGTTGGGACTTGGTTGTCTAACAAACATCCAGTTACTGAAGAGCGTGGGATTAACCAAGACAATGCACTCCTTAGACACTAGGATGAAAGTGTGGGTAACATGGAAGAGGGAGGTGAGAAGAAAGTATGAGTCCTCTATAGGCCAAGATCTCGTTCATATGTCTCACGTTCCAGTATTTAGCTCTAGGGCAAACGATAAGCCCATGGTGCTTAAGTATCTTAAATCTGATTTTTCTTTTACTTTTTTTTTTTTTTAAATCTGTTGTGTGCCGTCGAACCGGCTACGACTGGCACAGGAGGAGATTGCCCTCCTTCTTCAGCAGAGCATCTGATAGATTTGAGCCATGCGCCTTTGGGATTGTACTGCAGCTTCTTGCCACTAGGCCATGAGAGCTTCCCGATTTTTCCCTTTACTTTAAATGTTATCTGCATACATACACACATTGGAAAAATACCTGCGAAATGTGTTATTATACCTCCTTGTTATTTCTTTATAATCTGAAGAACTGAGTCAAGAATATCTAATAACCCAGCAACAAACGAATGGATAGAGAAGCTGTGGTATATTCACACAATGGAATACTATACAGCACCGAAAAACAAGGAACTCATGAAATATTATGCAAAATGGATGACCCTAGAGGACATTATGCTGTGTGAAATATCTCAGTCACAAAAGGACAAATATTGTATAAGGCCACTGCTATAAAATGGGACTGACATCAGGGTTGAGGGAAGACACAGAAGAAAAGAAGGAATAATGTATACTGCACTGAAACAGATGAGGGAGAGAACTGTTTAAAAGGGACATATGAATGGGTATAGAATTGTCATTGCAGAAGTCCAGAGTGAAGGCTTCATCGTGGAGTGGACTTGGGGGGAGGGACTACAAAACAATGAAAGAGTTTTTCTTTTTCTTTTCAAGAAGAGTGAATTGGGGGGGAGAGGGTGGGTAGGGAGAAAAGTACAACAGTGAATGACTGGAAACCCTAAGTCTCTGTAAACTTTCATTAAAATTAATTTTTAAAAAAGTATCAAGTAACATGGAAAAAGTGTTGCTATTCAACTAACTTATAAACATCTAGAAAGACTCAATGCATGCCCTACTTAGTGAATTTCAGCAAAGATTAAGGCAACTGTTATACCTTGTTTCCTTTTTGAGACATAACTGAGACAGTGGTATAATTTTAGTATTACTGAAAGGCTCAGAGTCGTATTAAGTTGTAGGTTGTAGTCAACTAGAGGGCACTTAACAATAAAACAGCTGATAAAATTAGATATTTTTTTAAAAAAAACAGATCTTTTAGATAATAACATGGCATTTTAGAATTCAGTCTTTATTTTATATGTAATTTTACTAGTTTTATAAATTTTAAAAAATCCTGTAAAACTTTGAAACAAAGATCAAATAAGCATTTTACCTGAAAACGAAGAAAATTCTTATATAATTCTTGCTGTTTAATCTGAAGTTCAGTTGGAGGCTCACCAAATATATTTCCTCGAGCAAAAGGAGAGCTCTGTGTTTGCATATAACCTTGAGCAAGACATATGGCAAAAACATACAATTAGCCAGTGTTCAGAAAATGTAAAGAGTAAGTAACTGCTAATAAACTCCCATTTGCAAAAACTGCTAGGTCAGTTAGTCCAGAGTGGAGGTTAGAAGAAGAAGGCCAAGATTGGGTTTTAAAGACATGTTAAAAAGTAACAAGGGGAGGAGGAAGACCACTGAGGTATAAATAAGTATAATCATTTAAAAATTATATTACATTTATAACTGAAAGATACCAAGCACATATATAAAAGCTAACAGCCTCAATAACTCGTGGGTCTAAAAAGACTTTAAAGCTGAATTTATGGGAGGAAAAAAGTACACATTTAAATTCTAAGTATGTGAATAACCTTCTCTTAAGAATAATGCTTGATAACATGCAAAAATGCATTAACATGCATTCATGTATAACAGTTCTAAAATTGATGAGAAAAACTAATCTCACTGCCATTGAGTCACTTGAAACTCAGCAACCCTCTATGAGGCTTCTGAGGCTGTAAATCCAAATTGGAGAAAAGGGTCCATTTTTCTCCCTCAGAGCGGCCGGCAGAACTAAGCCACCAGGTACACGAACCCTTCTGGCTAGTAGGGTAACACTTTCCATGTCACCACAGCTCCTTAACTTGGCTTAAGTAACCAGTATTTATATATGCTTGTTGTTGTGTACCATAGAGTCAGAACTGACCCACAGCTGACACTTCAGGGTTTTCAGAGGCAGTTAATTTGAGAGAAGAATGCCCATCTTTCTCCCACAGAGCAGCTGGTGGCCTTGAACTGTGTGCCTTTGGGATTACAGCACAGCTTCTTGCAACTAGGCCACCAGAGGAAGTAAAAATATTCTTCCATAATCACAACTTAAAAAACAATGAAATCCTTAGGTATCTCTGAATGCAGAACGTGGGAGGGAGGGAACATTTACATTTAAGTATTAATTTCAAGTGACTGACTCATTCCTTACAGTATCACTTTAGAGTGTATAGTTCTCTCACTTATATGAAGCTGACCACTTTGCTGTTGAGTTACTCTTTGGGTCTATATGACATTGTATTTAAAATTATTAATGCTAATTTTTTCCTTACCAATGCTTCTAAGCAGAAAACCAAATCAACACTTAAATATTATGAATCCTTTCATCCACTAGAAATTTTCCTACTGAAAAGAAACTCATTATGGACCCTAACAGCTCCTTTACACTTCATGCTGTGGTGGAAAAGCAAATCAACAAAACAAAAATATAGAGGCCTATTTCAAATCAAAGAACATTCATTCTCAATATGTGAATGATTTGGGGTTCTTAGAGAACGAATTAGTACTGAAGACAGGAAAGTTAAGCCCTCTTTGCAATAAGCACCCAAGCAACCCAAAGGGCAGGATCGGATTTAAATAAAGAACATGGAAATGGATCCAGGCATCTTAACGCACCAAGTAACAAATTAAAGCTACATTAGTAATTGCAGCTCACTTAGAAACTATGAAGTAACATGAAATTAAAATTATACAGCGTTCCAAAAATAAATCTAAAAAGGACTAAACACTAGAGGATAATAAGCTATAAGCACACACTAGATAATGAGCCTTAAGCACACGTTTTTCTTCAGCACGAAGATTGCAAACCGGACTACTGAAAAAAGCAGCAAAGTGAAGAAGAGAAAATTAATGATAATCAAAAAGAAGCTAACATTTCCACCTAGCAGCAATGATATGAAAAGGAGTATTGGTATTGTTTCTGTTGTATGATATCAAGTCAATTCCAACTCAAAGTAACCCTACAGGATAGAGTCCAACTGCCAGAGGGTTTCAAGGCTGTAACAGTTGTGGAAGCAGATGCGTATCTTCTTCACAGAAGAAGGCAAAATCAACAGCCTTTCAACTACTGGCGGCGCACATCACTAGTGTGCCAACAAGGCTTCTTTATATGTTGCTCTTAACTGTACGTTATGACAGATTTAGAGTGAGACCTTAATTAGTAATATCATCAAAATCAAGGGTATCAAGTGCAATGCTCCAAAAATCTAATCTGAAGAAATTATTTTAAATCAAAGCAATTTCTGGCAGAGACTGGTTAAACAGGCTGTCCTGGGAGAAAAACAAGCTATCTCAAATGTTAAAAAAAGGCTGCAGAAGCTGAAAAAAAAATGCACAGATAGTAATTCCTAATAAAATCCAACTCCCCATATCTTGTTTCGTCAACAAGAAGTCATGTGGGTTTTTAAAATAAGAACAAGCTGCATGGTGTTTCAGAAGGACTCAATTTCTTTTTACGTCAAAAATGAAAACTTTTGTGGAGGTATAAAGCAGAATGTCATAGTAAATTAATGTTTCCTTATACTGAGATGTAGTGCAAGGTGTCATATTATTTAAGACTCTGTTGACTTTTAAATATATATCACATTTTCATATGTATATTGATAAACTTTTCTGGCAAGACTTAAAGATACTGAATAAGTTTCAATTGTTAGAACCTTTAAGGTTGTTACTTAATTGCAAATCAAAGATATTTGGTTGAGAAATTAAATTAAAATTTCAAATACTTTATTCCTTTATACATTGTAGTTCTGCAAAACAAATTACTAAAACCAGTCAAAACATAATTTCATCATACTATGCCTTTTCACTAATTCAAACTGCTATGCGTAAAAGAAGCAGAGTGCCTGTGTAATAACAGTATTTGATTTTAGGAAATATCATCCCCATCAGCAAAATCAAAATAGTAGCAAGCAGCAGCTAAAGCAAGTTACAGCTAAAAGAAATATGCAGCAATCCATAGCAACCTTTATTTTCCTAGCCACACTGTTTTTAAAGACCAGAATAGGTATCACAAAGAGCATGATGAAGACATTTACCTTCATGACTCTAAGGAACCAAACTCTCAAGACCACAAGAAGAACTTTGTCAAAAAACAGAGAACGACTTTAGAATTGTTAGGAGGGGAGGGGGAGAAAAAAGAATGTGATTAAAAACCTGAGTTTTTATTTGCAGAATCCTCTAGGGTCTCAGCATTTGAAGTGGCTAAGTTTTGCTCTAGAGATACCACAGCCCTTTTATCTTCATGGGGTCTTGCATCTGGGTTATGGTAGGCATCTATGTTTTGTCTGTGCATCCTATTCAAATCAGCTGAGAGGGAAAAATAAGCCATTTATTTCAATAAACACATTTCTGTAACTGTTGTGATTAACACAATTTTCTTAAAAGAGGGAATAATTACTCACAACTGGTCTTAGAACAAAAAAAAATCTTGAGATCAGAGAGAAAAGCAACAGAACAGAGAAAGGAATAATTCAATAATATCATGTTATACTAAAAACAGAAACAAAACTATCAAGACATATAGGAATATTTTAAAATAAATAACCCTGAAAAAGAATCATGAAATTAACTGAGAAATTAAGGCTTTCTCACTCCCACAACCCATAAAACCATATTTACACTTTCTAAATGACTTCAGAACTTAGAATTCCTTTACTATTGAAAAAGCAAAGCAATCATTTAAAACAAGTCATAATGAATGAAATTTACCAAACATCATTAACTCTTCCAATGGAAAAACAAATCATACAGTGTAGGTGCTTTAAAACATACTACACGTTCTTTAAATGTGACATTCGATTTCCTTCCTCTTTCATGTAGACAGAATTATTAACTTACTTCTTACGAAAGGGCACCGTGCAAATAATGGTATGTGACTTCCAAAGCTACTTCAGAAAAGACATTATAAGTCCCGCCCTGCTCACTCCTCTGAATCAGTTGCTCTAAAAAAGCCAGCCCTGTATCATGAAGACATCACCACACCCTATGGAAAGGTGCACAGGGCAGTGGCCTGTGGCCTTGCAAGCTACGTGAGAAAATAATACTGGAGACCATCCCTCCATGTCCAGTCAAGCCTTCTGGTGACTACAGCTCTAGAGGACAACTTGACTACAACTGCACGAGTGAACTGCCTAAGGGAGAACTGTCAGCTACCTCCTCCCTAGTTACTGCCCCACAGAACTGGAAGATAGAAAATGCTGTTTTTAAGACACCTGTAAATTCTGGAGAAACATGTTACACATAGACAGCTAATACACACGGAGAAAATCTGCATGTACAACTGGTCATACATGCAGTGTGCCTCAGGAACAGATCTGACCAACTACAGAAGCCAAGAAGCCAATGAACCTGGGCCGCTCAGGCAGCAGAGATGTTGCCCCAGATGTAAATATTTATCACGAAGTCTATTATGCCAGAAAATGTTTTAAAAACATAAATGTAAAGTAGAAGACCAGATATCAAACAATTCGTTGATGTTGTTGTTGTTGTTATGTGCCGTCAAGTCGCTTGTGACTCATGTACAACAGCCCTAAACTCCGTGCTCTGTCCTGTGCCAATTGCACTGTCTCTGACACTCCCATCCCAATTATCCCAGTCACTGAATCAATCCACCTCATAGAGGGCCTTCCCCTCCTGCACTGTCCCTCCACCCTCCCAAGCATGATGTCCCTCTCCAAGGACCGGTCTCTCCTCACAACATGTCCAAAGTATGTTAGATGGAGCCTCAGAATCCTTGCCTCCAAGGAGCCACCTGGTTTAACCCTTTCCAGGACAAATCTGTTTGTTTTCCTAGCAGTCCATGGTATTCTCAATACTCTTCTCTAGCACCACAGCTCAAAGGCATCAATTCTCCTTCTAGCCTCCTTGGTCGTTGTCCAACTCTCTGATGCATAACAAGTGATTGAGAAGACCATGGCCTGTATCAGACGCACCTTAGTCTCCAGAGAGACACCATTGCTCTTCAATGCTTTGGAGAGGTCCCTAACAGCAGACTTTCCCATAAGCTGACTCCAATTCGTAGCAACCTGTGGTGTAGCAGGCTGACTGTTCAAAATGACTATCACTGGCTTCTGATACACAACTGGATGAGACTAAGCTAATGTGTGGATGAGAATAGCACCTTTGGAGTGGAAACATGCAAACAAGGTGTGTGGACTACTAAAGAGGGGACTGATCAGTCCTGCCGTCCCACTGAGCTTAAACTAAGCACAAAGCAGTTGTCTAGAGAATGAGGAGAACAGGCAGGAAATGAAAAGGCTCCTGTTCTAGGTATCTGCAAGGCCAAGCTCATGAGCTCTGATGGAAGGCACCAGAGATCATGCTGTGGTTCTAAACAGAGAGGTCACAAGAACAACTAAGAATGTTTACCACTTTCATACAATCTGCAAGCTGCATGATGCACTATTACATCCACTCCTAATTACAGATAGGAACATTAAACTAATTTGCTCAAAGACAAAGAAGCCAGTAAGTGGCAGAGTAAGAATCTGAACTCAAATCCCAGAGGTATGCGGTTCAAATTCACCAGGTGCTCTGCTGAAGAAGGAAGGGCAATCTCCTCCTATACCAGTCAGATCCAATCTGACAGTAGACACAAAAAAAAAATTAAAAAAAAAAAATAATAATCTGAACTCAAGCACTAACTCCAGAGTCCTCCCTTGGTGATTTTTAATATGGAGTAAAACAACTGGTTATGCTATGACTTGGATAAATAAAATAAAGATATTAAATAGTGGTGAAAAAATAGTAACACCTCAGGCAAAATACTATAAATCTTATTATGGGGGTTGTTGTTGTTATGTGCTGTCGAGTCACCTACAACTCATAGCGAGCCTATATACAACAGCCCTATACCCTGCTCTGTGCCAATCTTATTGCCTCTGACACACCTATCTCCACAACCCCAGTCACTGAATCAATCCATTTCATCAAGGGTCTTCCTCTCCTGTGCTGTCCCTCCACCTCCCAAGCATGATGTTCCTCTCCAAGGACTGGTCCCACCTTGTAACATGTCCAAAGTATGTCAGATGAAGCTTCAGAATCCTTGCCTCCAAGAAGCATCCTGGTCTCACCCTCTCTAGGACGAACTTGTTTGTTCTCACAGCAACCCTATGGAAAAAATGCCTCAAGCTTTTCTATAACTATCATCATTTATCAAAGTTCATAGAGTTTCCAGAGGCACGTTGTTTAGGAAGCAGATGCCGCTCTTGCTTCAAGAAGACAAAAATCATCAGCCCAATAAGCACCATCATGACAGAGAAAAGACTGAAGTTGCCAAAGATTTCATTTTACTTGGATCCACAATCATTTCAAGGTAACAGAAGTCAAGAAATTAAAACAAAAAAAACAAAACCACTACATGTTACCCTGGGGAATTTTTATATTAGAGACTTCTCCAAAGTTCTAAAAAGCAATTGCTTCCTACATATCTGAAAGTTGGACGATGAATAAGGAAAACTAAAGAAGAATCAATTCCTTTAAACTGTAGTATTGGTGAAGTATTGGTCTAGTACCATGGACTGCCAAAAAACCAAACAAATACGGGTTGAAAGACATGCAATGAGAGTGCTCCTTAATTCTTAATGATGAAACTTTATCTCACTTACTTTAAGCATATTTTCAGGAGGATCCAATTCTTAGAGAGGGATATCATATTTGGCAAGGTAGATGGTTGATAACAAGACGGAGATGCTCAACAAATGGACTGACGCCTTAACTAACACAACTGGTTTGGGTAAGATAGAGATCATGACGACGGTGCAGGACAGGACTGTTCACAGGGTCTCTATGAATCAGAGTTGACTGAATGGCACCTGACAACAGCAACAACAATTTGTTTTATAAGACACATCTGATAAATATGTGCTGAAATAGGATGTACAGGAAAAGAAAGAAAAGAACTGTCTGTATTATTCAAAGAAGAATAAACCAGAAGTTTAAATGTTATTTATATTATTATTTACACTTCCTAAGCATGTCTCTAGAAACTCTATGAACTTTGGGAAATGATAGTTATAGAAAGGCTTCAGGCCTTTTGTTCATAGGGTCATGCTTGACTCAATGGTAATTAACAACAACATTTATTATATATTAAATATTTATGATGTTTACAATATTAGAACAGAGCAAGGAAACACTGCATAGTTCAAAATTGGGAAGTGTATACCTCAGGGATGTGTCCCATCTCCATACCTTTTCAATCTGAATGCAGAACAGATTATCCAGGAGGCTGGGTTCTATGAGGAGAAATGTGGCATCAGGATTGGAGGAAGACTCATTAACAATCTGCATTATACAGATGACACAACCCTGCTTGCTGAAACTAAGACTTGAAGTGCATGCTGTAGAAGACTGAACACAGACTGAACTCAGTATCAAGAAAACAAAGATTCTCACCACTGGGACAATTGGCAACATCAAGGTAGACAGTGAAGAGATTGGGATTGTTAACAGCTTCAGTTTGCATGGCTCTACAATCAATACTCTTGGTACCAGGAAATTAAAAGGCAAATTGTATCAGGAAAGTCTGCTGTCAGAGACCTCTCCAAAGTACTGAGCAATGATGTCAGTCTGGAGACTAAGGTGCACCTGAACCAGGCCATGGTCTTTGCAATCACTTGTTATGCATCAGAAAGTTGGACAATGACTATGGACAACAGAAGGAGAATTGATGCCTTTGAGCTGTGGTGCTAGAGAAGAGTACTGAATATACCACGAACTACTAAGCGAACAAACAAGTTTGTCCTCGAGAGGGTGAGACCAGGCTGCTCCTTGGAGGTAAGGATTCTGAAACTTCATCTCTCATACTTTGGACATGTTGCAATGTGGGACCAGTCCTTGGAGAAGGACATCAAGCTTTAGATGGTGGAGGGGCTGCACAGGAGACGAAGACCCTCAGTGAGATAGACTGATTCAATAACTGAGGTAATGGGGGTGGGTGTGTCAGAGACAATAAGATTTACATGGGATAGAGCAGCGTATAGGGCTGTTTTAACATGGGGTCACTATATGAGTTACAAGTGAATCGATGGCATTTAACAATATCGTTAAAATTAAATAAGAAGGTAGATGGATGACTTTTTAAAACATACTTTATTAGATAAATAGAATCATTAGGATCAGAATTTTGTTAAGAGTATGGGTGACCTAAGGATGTTCAGAGGCAAAGAGAAAAAAACAGGAAAAATTGAAAATTTAACAGAAATGGGATTGGATGAAATAATAGAAGACTGCAAGGACTGGCAAGGTAGGTCTATGAAATCGTCATCAAATCATGGGTCTATCTGGATGCAGAGGGTGAACAACGGGGAAAAAAATCACTATCTCTCTGTCATTCTTCAAGGAGACACTTAGGGCTCTATTGCCAAACTATAGAAAACTTGGGAAATAAAACTCTCACTTTGCTATTCAATTTCACAAACCATAAAAGACAAATACCCTACATGTAAAAAAAACACTATAGTAAACGTCAAAGTAAATTTATGATTGCTGTTAGATACCAAAGAATCAATTTCAACTCAGAGCAACCCCATGTGACCAAGGAGAATTGTCCCACAGGGTTTTCTAGGCCATAATCCTTAGGATGAGACCTGCCAGATCTTCCTCCCTTGACATTGCTGAGTGGGTTTGAAATGTCAACCTTTCAAACAGTAGGTCAATGCTTAACCACTGCATCACCATGATTCCTTTCAAAATTAACATGTCATAATTCATTTATTGGATTTTGGGCATTATATTCTCAACAAAAAAATATTCATATGATGTTTGTGTTGCTCGATGCTATCAAATCAACTATGACTCACAGCAATGCTATGATTTCTACTGGAAAAAAATTAGTTTGTCAATCAATGGTTGGTCATTCTTCGTCCATCTTTCTGAAAAATGTTAAAAAGTAGCTCTTTTTTTCTTTAAAAAGGCATTAGGGTTAAGAATATAATTTTCCAACTGTAAAAAGGCACTAAAATGTTAATTATATCACAGAACATTAACACTGTAAGAATTCTTTTGCATCTAATAAAAAAACAAAAGGAAAAGTTATAAATTAATGAGTGAGCAAATTATTCTAGTCTCTGAATAATTTCTTAAATCTTGGCTAACCTATATTACAGTCACAATAAATGATTAACCAATAAGACTTAATGTTTTTCATTTTTCCTTTTTTTATAATCTTTACTTCTTTTAATAAAACTAAATCTTTATTTATTTAAATAAAACAATTAACATTTTGGAAGCAGGAGTGGGATCCACATGCCTCTGGAAACCCTATGAGCTTTGATAAATGTCGATAGTTGTCAGGCCTCCTGTTCATAGGATTACTGAGTCATGCTCGTCTCAAAGGCAATCAACAACAACAAAAATAGCAACATTATCCTTCTAAGTTAGATGCTCTTTACCTGAGCAGAAAATTGCATGGCTGTCCTCGGCTTATTTCTGAGAGACCAGTACAAGGCCGACCTACCCAACATCACAACAAAATGCCAGCACGTCCACAGATCCCATGAGGCCAGGACTGTTCAACAATCCAGTCAACAAGTAACTTTATTCTGAGTCACATCAGAGAGGTGAACCAGTTTTCATAGCAACATGTATTTTGAAATTAATCCAATTAAAAATATATGCACTTAATGAAATCACATTTTCTAAGATGAGTAAAGCTCTAATAGCTTGTCAATATAACAAATCTTATCAATTTAAAAACACTGAAATTATAAAATGAAATGTAAACTAAAGGTCAATAAGAGAAAGATAAATGGAAAATCCTCACATAGTTGGAAATTTTAAAAATATAACTCTAAATAAAAATCCTTCTGGGCATAAAGAAATGTAATCTTCCCAAACTTTTCTCAACTTCTAGGCTATGTCCCACTACCATTCTCCAACTGTTCGCTCTAACTTCTGGGCCCTGTGTGTACATCTATACAGGACTCCAAGGAGGAGAGGCACAGTGGAAGAGGTCTGAACCCGAGTCATCATCTCTTGGAAGAGAGTCACCAAACTGCAGCAGAGCATGACGTGAGAAGTTAACCCATGTGGGCGCAAGACTAAGAATTCTGAGTTGTTTATTAAAATGCTTTTCATTACTTAATTGGACTAATACCTTTATTTTTTTTCTTTCTTTTTTTAATTTAAATAGCATTCAGTTTATTACAAATATTTAGTACTGGCTTCCCATATTTCCCCCCTTTTGTTTTTATCATAATTATGTTATCATCTAGGTGAGCAAGGAGTAATACCTTTATTTTAAAATCAAATGTTATAGCACTACTCATAAATGGAAATAGAAGCAATATTTTTCTAATATGCATTGAAATATTCAACTATTAAAAATGTTAATCTATGTATCATCCAAAATAATCTATAAAGAAACTATGAAGGGTTTCATTCTTCTAGAATACAAAGATTGTACCATGAGGTAAAGACATGAAAGGAAGAAATACTTTGAGAGGGAGAAATGAGTTCTTTTCAACTGACTCAACAAAACTCATTGATGAGTCCAAACCCACTCCCAGCTGCGCCTCCTGGCGGACTCCTGAAGCTGTTCAGAATATGGAAGATCTTTCTCCGCAGGAGCAGCTTGTAGACTAAAACCATTTGCCTTTGGGTTGACAGTGCCACTCCCTACCTACTAGGCCATCAGAGCTCCTGCTAATTACTATAAGTAGACCTCAGATATTGTATTTTTTTAAAAATCTATACTTAACTAAGAATCATAGGTACAACTCCTAAGAACCCGACTAACAATACCCAAATAATCTTCCGGTTCTATCATCCAACTACTCCTACAATAACAGGTAACTCCTACAGATCAACATGAAATAGTTTTATACTTCAAATACGTACATCTTTATTATCCTTCAGCTTCACATTTCTATCAATTAAGTTTTAAAAACCCTTATTTTTCTCTAATTTTATACTGCTTAGCTAAAAGTAATGAGAGACTTCTATTTTCATGAATGCTGCCTTCTAAGGTGCTGCTTGTGTGATCACTAGATTAAAAAAAAAGTAGTTCCTAGCTGAAAGGTAAATCAACATCATTCTGAAACCTGCTTAAAAAGTTCCTCAGGTTAGGTCTTTTATTTTGCAAGGAGTTCTTGCATTAGGCTGATACAGCACATACATGAATTAAGCAAAATATCTTAACAAATCTCTGAAGTTTAGATCTCTATCAATTAAAAGCAAGTTTGACTAGAAACTAAGAAAATATTCTAGATCCTTAAGAAAACCCCTTAAACTCATGCCATCAAATGCATTCTGAACCTTACCCACCCTCCATCATTTTTTTGAGGCTGTAAAACTACCTAAGAGGAGATTGCTCATCGTTCTCTTGGGAGCTGCTGGTGGATTTAAATTTAAAGCACTAGAGATGCACGGCCTTTGGGTTAGCAGTGCAACTCACCACAGACCACACCACCAGAACACTCGACATCAGTGGAAAAACTTGGCAGTGTCGGTTTTTCTCACAGTTGGACAATTACAAAAAATGTAACATTTGTGCTAAAAAATATATTTAAATCAGGGAGCTCTGGTGGCCTGGTGGCAAGAAGCTGCACTGGAATCCTAAGTCTGAATCCACTAGATGTTCCACTGGAGAAGGAGGGGCAATCTCCTCCTGCGCCAGTCAGGTCCAATTCAATGGTGTGTGCGCGCGCGCGCGCACACACACACACACACACACACACACACACACACACACACATTATATCTCTGTGTATGTGTGTGTGTAAAGTATCTGAAGAAAGGCTTTCTAAGCTGTTATATTTATTACCAAGTACCCCTTTACTATTAAGTTACATACTAAAGGACTTCGTTTCACAAACTTTGTTTTCTAGTTTGCCATTTCTACTATTCACTCTTTTGAAAGTTAAAGATAACAAATTTCTTTAAGAATTCAATAATTCAATGGAAATAACATACTTATCAAATTTCCTTTGGCATCCCTGAGTGGTGCGCCGCCACCACCTCTCCCCCAGGGGTTATAACTTCTCATTTCAGCATCTAATTTAGCTTCATATTCTTCTTTTTCTTCACGTTCTTTCTTCCTTCTCTCTTCTCTTTCCCGAATCTTGGAAACATAATAAACATTCATCATAAGCGCTGATAAATATTCTAATACAGTATTATTACAAATACCAGATTTGATATTATTTTTAGAAAAGAAATGGAGATTTTTCCAGTACAGAAATTTTATATATCTATGTAAATATATGTAAATATTGAATCTAAAAATCCTTCCATAATAAAATATATTGCTGCTACTTCCTATAACATGCCACCAGAGAAATTGACTTTTCCAGTTACTGGTACAATTCTGAATTAACCAACTACTTCTTCCTACCCTTAACTTCTTCCTGAACCATTACTTAGGGAAAACTAAGGTTCCTATCCCTATACTCCAAGGGTTTCATGAGAACCACTAGGACCTCCCTATTTCCCTTCTCATATAATCTATCATGAAACTCCCCAGCCACAATTTCTAGCCCACCTTCTAAGACACATTTTTAAAAAACAAGAACAGTCACTGGAGAGTCAATTCCGGGTCCTGGTTATCCCTGTACAAGCCAGTGTACAACTGTGCTTCACATGCTTGTTGTGATTATCAGGAGTAGATCTTTAGCTCTTTCTTCTAAGGAGTTCTGAAAAGACGTGAACTTCCAACCTTTCCAGCCAAAAGTATTAAAACATGTGCTATTCAAAGCCTCCAGACTTACTGTTCTAACAACTATTGTTGTTATGTGCTACCGAGTTGACTAGCAATAGCATCCCTATGAACAGCTGACCTGAACTCTACCCTATCCTGTGCCATCCTCATCATCTCTGACACACTTGAGCCCACGGTTACAGTCCCTGTATTAATCCACCTTGTTGAGGGTCTTCCTCTCTTTAACTGACCCTCCACTTTTCCAAACATGATGTCTGAAAATTGAACAATGACAGAAGAATAGATGTCTTTGAGCTTTAATGTTGCAGAAAAGTAAATATGCCATAGACTGTCAAAAAACCAAACATATCTTAGATAAAGTGAAACTAAGGTGTGCTCTTGGATGCAAGAAAAGTGAAGCTTCATCTCACATACTGTGGCATGTTGGTAGGAGGGATCAGTCCTTGAAAAAAACACGTGATGGCTAGAAAGACTTACTATGCCCTGGACAAATTCCAGCCTCAGAACTCAGTGAAGGTGAAAGTTCACAGCTTTTTGGGGCTGTGATCATTTTCCTGGGCTACTTTTGGTAGAACTTTATGAATGGCTACAAAACAAATATATTCCTTACAGGACATGTATGGGGAAATGAAGAGGAAATAAGTCTGTGTAAATGAGCAAATGAAAAGTCAATTTCTATGTAAACTCACATACAAATTACAATTTAAAAAAAATACATTCCTAGCATCACCAAGTACAGTGGTCTCTAGAGACGTGGAAATATGTACATTTGAAAAGACCTTTTTACAAACTTAACTATATTCATTATTTCACTCTAGTTAGGCCAAAGAAGTATCACATACAAAGAACAGGCTTCCAGAGTTGGAAGTTTTGACAGTGGTGCTTTTCATATGCCAAATACAAAACTGATGGAAAAAGAGAAGACACACTTATCTTTATAAAACCTTAAATATACATAGTAACAGGGGTTATTCCATCATTTTTAAAGTTCAGTTTTCAAATAGCTAGCCATGTAAATGCTGAACAAAAGGAGTTTTGGAAGAAATCCAGCAATAGAACTTTAAAGGTGGAGGTGGGGGAGGACCTCAATTGAACATTTACCTAGCAAGTAGGATTTCTTCAGATTCAACGGTATTTGCCAAAACAGTCCATAAATTTGGTAACTCCTCTAAGGTAAATTCTCTTATTATAAGTTATAACCCACCATAATACTCCACTTCTTGTATTCATATCATTATTCTCCTAGATTAGAACACATGGCATATAAGTTCGCTGTCCTTTCCTAAAAGGTAAATCTGCTTTACTAACACCTTGGGATTTAAAGTGTCATACCTTTGGCTATTTACTACTTACAGGATAAAATTGAGAATGTCTTACTAGACCTTCATAAGCTAATATAACCTAACTTTCCAATACAATCTCCCACATTTCTTTATCTGCACTCCAGTTCCATTCCTTAAACATAGTAGGTTTAAACCTGTTCACCAAGCAACTTGTAGCTCAATTATTAAGTATCAAGTAGGGAGCTCTGGTGGCTTACTGGTAAGGAGTTGTACTGCAAATTCCAAGGCACAGGGTTCAGATCCACCAGCTGCTCCACAGGTGAAAGATAGGCAAACCCTCTGTGCAATTTACAGCTTCTGAAAACCTGATGGAGGGTCAGCTAAGAGGCAAGACTGAGTGGTATTCGAACTCAGAACCCAACAACAATGTAAAGTCTTCCCCAACTGCCTCAAGCAGTTCTTTCCTTGCTTCCAACATCATTCTAGCAGACCCACTCCAAAACTTAATGAATTATACTGGTTTTCTTTTTGTGAATTCTTAGTGACCACTGTGCTAACAAAGTATTCTGCACTGAATGAATGGACAGATGAGTGGATACCTGTTGTTGCAAAGCTTCTTGGTAAGACTGAAGTGACTGCTTTGAAGGCTTTGGCTTATCTTCAAAAAGTAATCCCGAATGTACTATTCGGTCACTTGTAGTTTTCAGTTCATTCTGGCCAACCATATTCCTACATTAAATACACAATTAATAATTTTAATCCATCTATGACCATACCAAAAGAAAATATAATAGTCTTGAAATATCTTGACACATAAATACACTTAAACATAGGAGGGACATTTCTCCCCCAGCCAAAGAGAAATCTTTAAGTGATTGGATCCTTCCCAAGATCTCCTTCCTGCCTCTGCTCTGTTCATCTATGAAATCAAATTTGTAGGATCTTGTTTTCAACCCAAGTGGCACTTACATAAGGGACTATTTTGTGATAAATGATCTAGCAGTATGCACACAATTTAGACACTTCACTGAAAAGTACAAAGTCATAACACACAAATGCCTCAGGTGATAAAATAATAACCAATTATTTACTTAAGATTGAAGCTCAATGTCAAGAAAATGAGGATTCTCACCACTGGGCCAATTCGCAGCATCATGATAGATGGTGAAGAGATTATTGACAGCTTCAGTTTGCTTTTCTCTACAGTTAACACTCTTGGTACCAGCAGCCAGGAAATTAAAAGATGAATTGCATTGGGAAAGTCTGCTGTTAGAGATCTCTCTATGGTACTGAGGAGCAACAATTTCAGTCTGGAGACTAAGGTGTGCCTGATACAGGCCATGGTCTTTGCCATTACTTGCTATGCATCAGAGAGCTGGACAATGACTACACATGATAGAAGGAGAGTTGATGCCTTTGAGCTTTGATGCTGGAAAAGAGTACTGAATATACAGTGGACTGCTAGGAGAACAAACAAGTTCGTCCCGGAGAGGGTAAAGCCAGGCTGCTCCTTGGAGGAAAGGATTCTGAAGCTTTGACTGACATACTTTGGACATGCTGTAAGGAGGGACCAGTCCTTGGAGAGGGACATCATGCATGGGAGTGTGGAGGGACAGTACAGGAGAGGAAGACCCTCGATTAGATGGATTGATTCTGTCACTGGGGTAATGGGGATAAACGTGTCAGAGACAGTAAGATTGGCAAGGGATAGAGCAGGGTTTAGGGCTGTTGTACATAGGGTCACTATGAGTCGCAAGCAACTTGACAGCACTTAACAACATTAGCACTGGTGGTCAGAGAGTAGGGAGCTGTGTTCTTACTCAAAAGGTGTTAGTTAAAATCCACCAGCTCCTTCAAGGGAGAAAATGAGCAATCTCCTTCTATGTGATTTATAGTCTCTGAAAACCTGCTAGAGTCAGTTTCAACTTGATGGCAAAGAACTGTAGAGTTGGTGGTAGTGGCAATATTATATGCTGTCGGGTCAAAACCAACTCAAAACTGATTAAGGTGTGCCTGATCCAGGCCATAGTCTTTGCAATTAATTGCTATGCATTCGAGAGCTGGAGAATGACTAAGGACCACAGAAGAAGAAATGATGCTTTGGAGTCTTAGTGCTAGAGAAGAGTCTTGAACCATAGACTGTCAAGAAAACAAATAGGTCTGTTTTGGAGAGGGTGAAACCAAGTTTCTCCTTGGAGGCTAGGATTTTGAAGCTCTGTCTCATATACTTTGAACATGTGGCCAGGAGGGACCAATCCTTGGAGAAGGACATCAGACTCTGAAAGATGGAGGGACAGTGCAGCAGAAGAAGACCCCAGATGAGATGGATTGATACAGTGACTGGGGCAGTGGAAGATGGTGTGTCAAAATTAGTGAGACTGGCTCAGGACAGGGCAGGCTTCAGAGCTGCTGCACAAGTATCACTATGGGTCGCAGGTGACTCTACGGCACATAACAACAACTCTGCATAACTAACCTGCTGGATAGAACATATAATAAAAACATAAAACGACTCTGAGCTGCCCTGCAATCCCAGAGGTACGTGGCTCAAATCCACCAGATGCTCTGCTGAAGAAGAAGGGGCACTCTCCTCCTATACCAGTCAGATCCGATTTGACAGTACACACCACACAAAAATAATACATTTAAAAAAAAAAGACTGAAAAAGGCAAGAAGGCAAACAAATACTTGGCCTTAGATCAAAGAATCCAAGAAATAACATAGTAACAAGTTCCCAGGGCCCCTTTTTTGCCTCCTAGGAGTTCAGATTTGGAGCTGAAGCAGCCAGCAACTTTGAAATATAGAACACAGACCATACAAATGCCAACAAAAGTCTGCAGACTCTAATTAGAGTCAGTTCTAAGAGGTCACTGATGCACATAAGGCCGAGGAAAAGGCAACTGAGCAACACATAAAACTGTTAGATTATAACACCACAGGAAAAACAAACAAATCCCCAGAGCCCCAGGGCCCCCAGGCCTGCTCAAGCCAGTGAAGCCTAAGTGGAAAGCTCTTACAGTGTAATAACAAGTAGGCCAGCATCTTCACTAGAGCAGGCCAACTAGACAGTAAAAATGCTAGAAAATAGCAAGAAATATACCTCACTCTTTCTCAACTTTGGTACTGTAGACTGGTGAGGAGCTTAAACTTCCATTCCAGCCCCAAAACAGCAGGACACTCGGGCCCTTTCCCGCTTGAGTGGTGACAGAAGAGGATCAACAGTACTTCCCCAGAGCATAAGTGGAGAACAGAAGAGAAGCTGGAACTCCTACGCCTGCATGGGACACTATGCTATTAGTGTCAAGACAGGCCAAGTGGGAAAGTTGGGATCCTATCTTTACCAGGAAATAACGAAGCATGAGGGAGGCAGTGCCCCATTCCTCTCCTGCCATAGAACTATGGGGAAAAACATAAGCTAAAACATAATGAGATCTAGACCACTAACAAAAGAACGGAAAGAAAAACTAGGCTATATTCACACAATGGAAATATTATACAGCACAGTAAAACAATGAACTTGTAAAACATTACACAACATGGGGGGATCCTGGAGGACATTATGCTGAGGAAAAATATCTCAGTCACAAAAGAATAAATACTGTATAACAATACTGTTATAAAATAGGACAGACATGGGAGTGTTCTGGAAAGAATGAGGAAAGGGTGAATAGAATGACCACTTCATTAGATCAGCTGAGGGGAAGAACTGTCTGGAAGGAATATATGATTAGGCATTACATGTATGACAACAATTTGGAACAAGGGGTGCACTGCGAGAAGGGTTATGGATGGGGAGAGGAGGGGGAGGAACATGTATAAAACTGAAAAGAAAACATGTTTAAAAATTATCTAGAATCTAGTAGCATGATATTAAAATACTCATATTTGAAGAAATCTTTCATCATACAAAAACCACCAGAAAAACCTCAAACTGAATGAAGAGTACAATAAACGGATGAGAACACTGACTAACCAAGTTAGCATTCTCTAAGATTTTAAAGTCAGAAAAAGAAAGTTTAAGGACAATTACAAAGACACTGGGGGGAAAAAAGAAAACTTGAGGAAAAATATAGGAAGTCTCAGAAAAGAAATCCTAAAAAGAAAAACCAAATGAAAACTTTAGAATTTAAAAACACAGTAACAAAGGAAAAGTACCCAACCTGAATAATAGAAATATAGTGGAATGAAATCAATTAACAAAATCGGAGACTTGTGGGATTCTAACAAAAGATTTTTTTAATATCGAGAACTTGGATTTCCATTCATTCATTTCCTCCCTGCCCACTCCTCCCCCCAACAAAAGATTTAACATTTGTTTTATCAGAGTTTCAGAAGGAGAGGAGACAGAAGGTGGGACTGAAAAAGAATTTGCCAAATTTGTAAGACACATAAGCCTAGAGTTTGAACAAGTTGAGCAAACCCAAACAGTATAAATGCAAAGTAATGCACAGTAAAATACAGCGTAATTATATTCTGAAAACTAAAGAAAAATCATGCCATATAAGTCAGTCAAGAGAGGACAATAAATGGTATAAAAAGTTAAAGAAAGATACACACAGATATAAGACAGAGGAATGAGAGAGAGAGAGGGGAGCAGTAATTAATAAACAGGTGTGCCACTACTAGAACCCC